GAAAAGGAGACACATGTAAAACCTTGCGAAGACTTACAGGAGGAAAGAAATAACAGTGAGTGTGGGTACAGGTAGACAGGAGCAGCTCTGCAGCTGGAGGAACAAACCCTGCTGATGAGGAGACGTGACCTGTGTTTAGATGCACCCAAAGAGGGTGGAAACTGCTGAGGAGGGAGCCCAGCAACACCAGAGTTTAGGGATGAAGGCTGGGCAGTGGGCAAGAGAAACTCTTCAGGGACACGTGGTTCATTTTAGGAGGTAGTTAAACTTCCTACAAAGTTTGTACGTAATTACGCGCTTATTCCTTAATTCAACAAAAATAAGTAATTTGGGAGAGCTTTATGGGGAGCAGCACTTAGGTTTAAAGAGTTGATGATACGATTATCTTCTTTTAGCTTATTTCCTAGGCTAAAACATTTCTTAAAGTTGTGCAGCTATTACTATTCAAATATTTTAAAATTACCAAATATTTGCTAGATTGACATATGTTGTTTAACTTTTCCTAGTGAGACTGTAAACTCCTATAGCTAGGATACTCATTATTTCTTCCAAGCTTCCTCTCAATACTTAGCATCTAGATAGGTTAAAAACACACTTGTGCCCTATCATGTAGATCATTTTAATTATCCTACGCAAAGAATCTTGGTCTTCATCATTGGCGTTCAAATTGCCTGCCATCCTTACTTGACAGTGTTACAGAATTCAGGGTAAATTGGGGGCAGCAGCATGGTGACAGACGGCTGTTCATCTTCTCAATGACCAGCCACCCCAGTCACTGTCCACTGGAAATGTGCATAGTGCAAGAGAGGACCTTAATTTTTAATTGCACTTTACATTAACTTAAAAACTGGCACTAATTCAGTTACTGGAAGACACTTAACGATGTTTTGAATAACATGCATTTATAAACATATGCAATATACTTTTTCAACGATAAGAGGTATGAAATCTAGATACAGATCAAGTGTTTCCAACAAAAATTTCAGAATGGAGATACGTCTGAGTGTAAAATACACACTGATTTTAAAGACTTGGCACCCCTCAAAAAGCAAAAATACCTCAGTAATGTCTAAAAATATTACTTCTGGCAGAGGTAATATGAGTGTATTGTCTACATATTAATTTAAAAACATTTGTTGTAGCTACTAAAAATTTTTGAATTATACCCATTTTTCCCATTGTATTTCTATTAGATGAACGAAGCCAGACGAAAATAGCAGGGTTAAATCAAAGAGAAAGATTCCTTTGCTTGTAAGTAATAATTTTTCTGATTTCATCATTTTTTCTAAGAAGGATTTACTTGAAATCTTTTTATTTTTATATGTTCATCTAAGTCCCTCTTAGTCACCAAACCAATGCTTAACAGCTGTGCAAGCCAGTTGGCTTTAGACAGCTCCTGGAGTTTTAAAGGATTATTTCTTGGCAGCTTTTGAAAAAACGGCAGTAATTGAAAGGTTAATCAAATCAGTCATATTTGTACGTTGGTTATATAAACACCCTGTCTCCACCAAAGATTAAACATGCATTATACTCTACCCAGAAGGCCCATTTATTCTGTAATTATCATCACTTTCCTTCAAGCTTGTAAGTAGTAGGGAAGTACTTTGAATACTTTGCAAATGAAAATTCTATTCTGATTATGAAGCACTTCTGCACTTGCAGGATTCTATAGAATCTAAGAGATTTTAGAGCAACACCAACTCTACCTGTGGTGCATGAGGGGAAAAGGTCAGTTCTCCCTCTACTTAGAGATAAGTACATATCTCTCAGTTTATTTAGGCAAAAAATACAAGCTTAAAAGTAGATACCGTTTGTCGGCTCTGAATGTTGATGACAGCACTGGCCTGCAGGATGTGCAGGTATTAGCAGTTACTGCCCTGCTCATCTCTAACAAACCGGCACTCTCCCACTGTTTTATGAATCTATAATCCAACGAGTGTACCGCAACAGGATCTGGAAAGAAGCAGGAGGGATGGAAGTTCTGCAGCATCACCGTCACCGGTTCTCACTGGTTGCGCCTGTGCTTAGTGACTGTGAAATAATCTGAGCCCACCCCTGCCTGGGATGGAGTTTATTACAGTGACAAAAAATGGCTGGCTTCCAGAAATTATTACTTGAGGTAAAAGTTTACTAGAGGGAACGATCTAAGATGGCCGATCGATAACAGCTCGGGATTGCAGCTCAGTCAAAGCGCAGAGAACTAGAGGACACCACACTTTCAGACAAATTCTGGTCGCTCATGGAGCAGAAGATCCCCAGTGGAGGAACCACATGTGTCGCCAGCACAACTCTTGTGGCCGGCGCAGCGGTTTCGCCGGCACCTCGGACAGGCAGCTCTCGGAGCAGAGTAAACAGGGCTGGCTCCCCTTCTGACTGAGGTTTGGAGGACCCACACGGGTCCCCAGCACGACTCCTGAGGCCGGTGCAGCGGCTGTGACTGCACCTCAGCACGGCAGCTCTCGGCGCAGAGTAAACGAGACTGGTTCCCCTTCTGACCGAGGTTTGGAGCCCGGAGAAGGCAGAGTCACCCATTAGGGACACAAGAAGGAAGCCAGACAGAAGAATCCTGGGCAGAAAAGCACCATTAGTCTTAACACCGCCGTTCTGGCCCTGGGAACTAACAACTTGGACGTTCAATCAAGAGACCTAATCTGAAAGTTGGTAATTTCAAAGACGACAGGAGGATAAATTTACAATGATGGGAAGAAACCAGTATAAAAAGGCTGAGAATACTCAAAATCAGAATGCCTCTCCCTCTAAAGATGATCACACATCAACAATGGAACAAGGCTTGATGGAGAACAAGCGCATCCCAATAACAGAATCACGCTTCAGGGAATGGATAATAAGAAACTTCTGTGAGTTAAAAGAACATGTTGTAGCCCAATGTAAAGAAACTAGGAACTTTGAAAAAAGGTTTGACGAAATCCTATTGAGAATAGACAACTTAGAGAGAAATGTAAGTGAATTAATGGAACTGAAGAATACAATACAGGAACTCCGAGAAGTATGCACAGGTTTAAACACTATAACAGAGGTCAAAGTCCAACTTAATGAAAGAAAACAAGAAGACAAGATTAGAGATAAAAGGATAAAAAGGAATGAGCAAAGTCTCCAAGAAATGTGGGACTATGTGAAAAGACCAAATTTACGTTTGATAGGTGTACCTGAATGCGACGGAGAGAATGGATCCAAGCTGGAAAATACCCTTCAGGATATTATTCAGGAAAATTTTCCTGAACTAGCAAAGCAGGTCAATATTCAACCCGAGGTAATACAGAGAACACCACAAAGATATTCCTCAAGAAGAGCAACCCCAAGGCACATAATCGTTAGATTCACCAGGGTTGAAACGAAGGAGAAAATACTAAGGGCAGCCAGAGAGAAAGGTCAGGTTACCCACAAAGGGAAGCCTATCAGACTTACAGCAGATCTCTCAGCAGAAACTCTACAAGCCAGAAGAGAGTGGGGGCCAATATTCAACATCCTCAAAGAACAGAACCTTCAGCCCAGAATTTCATATCCAGCCAAACTAACCTTCATAACTGAAGGAAAAATAAAATCTTTTATGAACAAGCACGTACTCAGAGATTTTATTACCACCAGGCCTGCTTTACAAGAGCTTCTGAAAGAGGCATTAAACACAGAAAGAAACAACCAGTATTAGCCTAACTAAAAATATACCAAAAAGTAAAGAGCACCAACATAAAGAAGAATTTCCATCAACGAATGGATCAAACAGCCAGTTAACATCAAATGGCAGTAACCCTAAATTTAAATCGACTAAATCCCCCAATCAAAAGACACAGCCAAAACCCAACGTCATGTTACAGCCAGACCTGTTCACATGCAAGGATACACAAAGACTCAAAACAAAGAAATGGAGAAAGATTTACCAACCAAATGGAGAGCAAAAATAAATAAATAAATAAATAAATAAATAAAAAGCAGGAGTTGCAATTCTCGTAGCAGATAAAATAGATTTTAAAGCAACAAAGATATAGTGGTAAAAGGATCAATGCAACAACAAGAGCTAACGATCCTAACACTCAGATACATAGAGACTTAGACTCAATGAGACAGAAAATTAATAAGGATATCAAGGACTCGAACTCAGATCCGGAACAAGTAAACTCAATAAATATTTACAGAGCTCTCCACTTCAAAGACATAAAATATACATTCTTGTCAATACCACATCACACCTACTCATAGGTTTAAATGAAACATTGATTGGCCATTATTAATACCCATTTTTTTTAGAATAAAGCAATATTTCCATTCACCCTCCCTCTCTTCCTCACTCATTTCTTTTTCTTTCCTTCTCTCAAAAAATGAAATCAACTTGTAAACCTCTAGATCCAGGTCGGCAATGTCTCTCTCATTGCTTTAATTCCTTCCTTCCCTTCCCTTCCTCCCTCCCTCCCTCCCTCCCTCACCCCCTTCCTTCCTTCCTTCCTTCCTTCTTTCCTTCATCCCTTCCTTCCTCCCTACCTTCCTCCTTCCCTCCCTTCCTGCCTTCCTCCCTTCCTCCTTCCCTCCCTAAAAAAAAAAAAAAAAGTTTACTAGAAAATAGCTTGTCTTGAAATCACTTAAAATGTGATCCAGTTTGATGTAAATTATAAGTTATGCAAAAACAATGTGGAATGATAAAGGATTACTCAATTCTAAGTTCAAAAGTACATTTATTTAAAATGTGGGCAAGATATCAATACAAAAGAAAACAGTATAAGAAATGAAAATAATCAAAGTACAAAACATTTCAAATCTTAAACATCCATAATTTAGAGATAGCAAGGTCTTTATTTACACCATTTTATTACTAGTTAAAGTCCTCTAACAGTTTTGTGAAAACATTTAAAAACCTGGCAAATGAATCATAAAACCTAATGTGGGCTCTTAAAGTCATATAATACAAAACATAATTTATGTTTCCTCAGAATAAAATTGCACATCTTAAAAAGATGCAGTATATTAATTATATCTGTCTTCCTGGCTTTGCTGTCTGATCCCCCAAGAAAGCAGCTGGAAAACAAGAGCATGTGAAGGAAGCATGCAGCTCCTCGCCAGCCAGACAGCCGGCCGCGCACCACAGGAGTCCACACACACAGCAGCCTAGACACCATCAGTTAAACTTATATGTAGGCTTGTCGAGGAAAACAACTTCTAAACACAAGGCAAAGACAAACGTGAACCCAAGGGTTCCAACATTCATCACCCAGGTTCAGGGACACCCTTGTAGGAAGGCTACGGCCTCTTTCTTACCCACTCAAACCAGCTGCTCTGCTGCACACCCACATGACAGACGACTTTCAGCCCACCCCGACAGGCTCACTCAGCCCCTGTGCCAGCTCCCCAGGAGCTGGGGCCAGCAATAGCTGCAGTGTCCTTTAAATTAACATGTGCAACACATAACCCCAAGAGCTGACATCCCCAAGGCCCCACCACAAATAACTGACTCCTACCTCTACCCTCAGGAGCAGACGCTGACCTCTGCAACTCTACACTGTCCATCCCACTATGGGCAAAATTAATCGAGCTATAGCTATGAAAAAAGGCCCCCAAGGTAATTAACATCACAAGTCGCCCGTATGACTTTTAAAGCAATTTCTTCTGAAAGTAAAAGTAGTAAAGAATAGCCTTTCACAAATATAAACATGAATGCTAGAAAAAAGTCTGAAAAAACGCAAGGGTATACACTGTATAAAAACTAAATGCTTATAGGTATCTGTAAAAATGTAACAGGCCTCTTACCATTTTTATCAGTAGTGCGAGCAACAATTTCCTAATAGATCGCGGTATGGAATACTCTAAGCTCTGGTATGAATAAGAGTTTCTGTACCAAGCCTCATTCCAGCTAGACAGGTTAGTTATGGCTAAATATGACACTGGCTTCTGGAGCTGAGGCAAATTTTACTCCCCACCCCCGTTTTTTTTTTTTTTTGGTAAGACAGAGTTTCGCTCTTGTTGCCCAGACTGGAGTGCACACGTCCTTGGCTCACGGCAAACCCTGCCTTCCAGGGTCAAGTGATTCTCCTGCCTCAGTCTTCTGAGTAGCTGTGATCACAGGTTCCTGCCACCACACCTGGCTAATTTTTTTCTATTTTTAGTAAAGACCGGGTTTCACATTGTTGACCAGGCTGGTCTTGAATTCCTGATCTTAGGTGATCCGCCCGCCTCAGCCTCCCATGTTGGGATTATAGGCGTGAGCCACCACAAGAAGTCAAATTTTACTTCTTAAAAGTGCTTTTCTCTCAGTGATAGCATCCTCTATCTGATATTACAACCATAAGCTCTTTAGGGTTAAAAGGAAAATGTCTGACAAATATAACTGGATGAATATCAATGTATTTAAATGTAAATATACTTAAATGTAATTACCTGGCTGCAACAGGCACCTATGAAGAGAAAAAAAAACTCAGCAAGGATGGATGTCATTCTGACCTCTGCCTTACTGAAGCAGTCCTACCCCAAACACAAAATTCCCCCGCATAAGCAATGGTCCACTGAGGCTGATGCCGCTCAGGGGTGACAGAGGCTCCTGCCCTCACAGAGAGGAGGAGCTCAGCCCTCCAGCCCCATTGCACCAGCCCCAGGGAGAAGTCTGAGAAACACGGCCTGAGAGCAGGCCCTCAGCAACAGAAAAGGAAAGTTGAAACAGAATGTTCCCATAAGGACCTGGAAGGCATGTTTTGCTTCACTGATGGGCTGCTCATACATTAAAATAGTAATTCAGAGATTTTTAGTAAGGGCTACACATACAGATGATGAGCTTTATTTTTTCCTTAATGTCTGAAATAGAAAAAATCGCCTGTCGTTATTCTAAATACTGACCTTTGCATTTTTCCTAACATGTTAATATTCATTCTGCCGCTTCTATTAAGTAGTTTTTTTATTTCCCATCTCAGAGTTATACGAACTAAATTTCATTTTGAAAACTACAAACTCAGAATGGAACTGATAAAAAGAAATGTAAGATTTTTTTTGCAATTATTTTCTATTTTATCTAATTGTCAAATACTTTAATGCCTACATAAATAGCATAGATTCTAATCAACATCACCTATTAAAACTGAACTCTCAGTAAGTTAAGGGAAAGTTTTTACTTGCAACTCAAATAAATATTCTGAAGAGAAAGAACTGTTCACTGCATAAATCGTACTAGCAAAGAAAAGAAAAATGGCTTGTAAAACAGGAGAGGTACTACCTTATTAATCTGGAAACTCCCTTTCATATCCAACCCGCTTCCTTTTTATTCTCTTTTGAAAAGGATATGATTCGTAGTCCAGCGTTTGTGTGAGCACTCCGGTCAGAACAAACTCCGCATTGTGAACATCTGAACGGGATGGAAGCAGAGGCTGTTAGAGGTGCACTGCTGGGAGTACACACACTCACACGCGCAAGCGGGGAAACGTACCTATGCCTCTGGCAAAATATTCTCGGCATAAATGAAGGTCGTTTTCACAGGATATTAAAATTATTTCCGACAAACTCTAAGGAAAAGAAAATGAGTTTCTCAGTGACTGAACCCTGAATCTGACACAGGACAACGACGGACTCGTGGCGGACTCCGCTCTACCCACCGAGTTCTGCTTGTGCTCCATGAGTTTCCGGAAAGATGGCTGCTTGGACAACACCTTTCCTCCTGCGCACTCTACGATTGACCTCATAGTGGAAAGACTTGGGCAGATTCCAGGTGTGATGTAAAAATACTTTGCCTAAAATTAAATGAAAATGTATGTATTATGTTCTTAAATGCTTTTAACTTTTAGAGTATGTAATTTTTCATAGATTCTGCCCTGAGATTTTTGACAGAATTTCTAATTTTATGAAACGATGAAGGTACTATTTATTCTCCTACTAGCACTGACTCTGACGTGGAAGAGGAATCAGCTATGTAAATTTGGAATCTAAGCATTTTCACGTTAAGTATGCCAAAGATGATTTAAAGTAACCAGAACTGGGTCCCTAAAACAAAGTGTTTTGTGAATAAGCAAGAATATCACAAATATTTTTCACAATTTTTATACAATTTTAAATCAGCATTATATTTCACCACACTCATCTGCCTAGCAATAGCCTCTGGCACGGCGCCTGCCTGCTATCCCTTTTCTTTATTTTCTCTGTATTATTTGGACTCAAACAGAGCAGGAAATGATATTGATGCTTAAGACTGAATTCTCTAACAAGCTTGCTCCTGAGCATACCACAAAATAAGATTGTCTTAAACTGCTCACAGAAAAAAATCAAACACTTAGAAAGACTATTTTAGGTAAAATATATCTTAACTCAGTATCCAAATCATTTCTGATTCCTGCTGACTCCTTAGGAAGTTTAGTAAGATAAAAATTATCTTTATTGATTTACTTCTTTGATACAAAAAGAACTCCTAACTCTTCTAACAGCTATCTCACATTTAAAAATCTTTGATCTGAAATTATATATATGGAATTAATATTTTCCCAAGTATCTTCCCCAGTTGAATACACATCTACTGACAACAGTATGAAGCAGTGTCCCCTAAAGACTCATTAAAAGCAGAAAAATAAACATGCCTTTAACCAATTAAACTGTTCAAAAACACACTCTTTGAACACCTTGTTTCCCTAAATGTATTTATGAAATTTGTGTACTTATTTTTAAACATTACAGCAAACGTGGTTCATAGGAGGAAGCCCTCCAGTGGCCATGTCCAAGAAGGAAGGCAAGGGGTGGCTGAGATGCAGGGAGAGCCCAGCTCCCCCGGAGGCGACTTCGTTCCCTCCACTGGGTCCACGTGCTATGCTTACTTGGACTGATTGCCTTTTCCCTTAAAGGGTACCTTGAAGAGTGGAGAAATGTGTGCCCGCTTTAAGGATTCTTCCAAACTGAAAGAGAAAAGTACTTCCGCTTCAGCATCTCGGAGAATGTAGTTCTGCTCATCTGGAAAACAGAACAGTACACGCTCTGAAGTGCGGACAGGTGAAGTGTGGCAGGTGTGACCCACAGAATTCTCACCCTTATTCAGTACATAACAGTCACAGCTACATTTACCCGTCCAGCCTTCGGACATTTAAAGCTCACCATTATATTTCATTTACTTCCCTGTAAAAGCCAGACCAAGAAAAGAAAGGTGTTTTTTTTTTTTTTTTTTTTTTTTTTCTTTTAGATCAGTAGTAATTAACCATTTGGGGTCATAAACTCTTGAAAAGAACGGGCAGGGTGTGGTGGCTCATGCCTGTAATTCCAGCACTTTGGGAGGCCAAGGAAGAAAAACTGCTTGATGCCAGGAGTTCCAGAACAGCCTGGGCAACACAGTGAGACCTCATCTCTACAGAAAAATTTTAAAATTAGCTTGGCATGGTTGCATGTGCCTGTAGTCTCGGCTGCTCGGGGGGCTGAAGTGGGAGGATTGCTTGAGTCTGTGACCCGTCACTGCACCTCTGCATTCCAGCCTGGGCAACAAAGTGAGATCCGGTCTCAAAATAATAGTAATAATTTTTTTAACAACAAAAATGTTAAAAAAAAAAAAAAGTAAAAAAATTACTGAAAGGAACCCTCTTCCCATAGCTGTCCCTCCCCTCTTTACCCCACTGTAATATACAAACTTTTAATATACAGCAGCTTTACTGGTAACTGCCAACATTTACGAACAGCTGGAATGTCCTTGTGTAGGTAAGGGGCTAAACAAACTGATACATTCTGACAATGGAATATTATTTAGTGCTAAAAAGAAATGCCCTCTCAAGCCACGAAAAGACATAGAGGAAGCTTGGATGTATACTGTTATGCAAAGGAAGCAGATCTGAAAATCCTATATACTGAATGATTCCCAATGTGTAACATTCTGGAAAGGCAAGACTCTAGCAAGGATAAAAAGATCAGTGGTTGCCAGGGGTCAGAAGGCAGAAAGGAATGAGTGAGTGGAGCACAGAGGATTTTTAGAGCAGTGGAACTCTGTATAATGCTGTAATAGCAAAAGCACGTCCTTGTGTGTTTGTTAAAACTCAACGACTGTTCAAGGCCAGCAGTAGGCCCTACTCTAACTATGGCTTTGGCAAATCACCAAGGTGTGCAATTGCTTGATCATATGGTAACTGTATGTTTAGCTTTGTAAGGAACCGCCAGGTGCCTGTGCTGTTTTGCATTCCCAGCAGCAGCGAATGGGAGCTCCTGTTGCTCCACATCCTCCTCAGCATGTGCTGGTGTCAGTGCTCTGGGTTTTGGCCATTCTAATAGGTGAAGTCCAGCTTACTCATTATTTCTTTCATGGATTTTGTCTTTGGTGTCGTCTAAAAAGTCATTGCCAAACTCAAGGTCCCTTAGATTTTCTCCTGTGTTATCTTGGAGGAGTTTCAAAGTTTTGCATCTCCCATTTAGGTCTGTGTTCCATTTGGGGGTTGATTTTTTTTTTAAGAGGGTAAGGTCTGTGTCCAGATTTCTTTTTTCTTTCATATGGATGTCCACTTGTTCAGCATCATTTGTTGGAAGGACTCTCTTCTCCACCTGTTTTGTAGGTACATGTTTTTGGAATTTTATATTTATGTGTAATTTATATAAAATGTGAGACATCGATATAATTACCACTTTCTGGGATACTCATTTCTTCTGTATTCCATGGAAAGTTTAATGTTCAGGCTGAGTCTTTAGATAGCTACTACTAAGTTAACCCTGCTCCTTCGTTTGAATAAACCATAATGTCAGTATCTCATCTGTGACAGGATCATCTTAGCTATATATTCTTTTATTTTTCAATGTTACTTTTTTTTTTTTTAAGATTGAGTCTTACTTTGTTGCGTAGGCTGGAGTGGAGTCGTGCCATTGACTCACTGCAACCTCCACCTCCTGGGTTCAAGCCGTTCTCCTGCCTCAGCCTCCCTGGTAGCTGGGACTACAGGCGCCCACCACCACAACACCTGGCTAATTTTTTTGTATGTTTTAGTAGAGACAGGGTTTCACCATGTTGGCCAGGCCGGTCCTGACCTCAAGTGATCCGCCCACCTCAGCCTCCCAAAGTGCTGGGATTATAGGCGTGAGCCACCGCGCCTGGTATTATTTTCTCTATCATAAACATTAACTACTTCTTGGTGATCTCACACAAGTTCTTCAGAAGGCGTATCAGCCTTCACTTTTCCCCTAAAAGTAACACTTCAAATATACCATCTCACGTGTGGTAGTACTTGTTTTATTCGTTTTTTAATTCATCATTCTTTGTTTCTCCAAATTTTAGATATTTTTATCTTCTTTCAGATAGAAAAGGCAGCCTTTCTATCTGCTGGTAGGCTCAGGGATTAGCCATTGGTGAACAGATGCCTGCATTTTTGTCGTAGCATGGTTGCTCCTGCCCAGGGGTCAGCTAACTGTGGTCCATGAGCTGAGAATGGGTTTCACATTTTTAAAATACTGCTTAAAAATGAGAAGAGGAATGTGCAAGAGAAATAATACAGAGCCCACAAATCCTGAAATATGTGTCATCTTGTCAACCCCAGTTTGCCAATCCCAAATCACTTTTGCTTGTTTTCTGTTTTTGATGTATATATTACTGGGTTTGAGCTGCCAGTATTATCTTGTATGGTCGGTAGGAAACGGAGGAGAAGAAATGCTTTTCTGAATATGACACGTATTTATAGGAAGATTGAAACATTTTGTGATCTTTAACTTTTGACACATTTCTTGAAATGTTGCTATGAAAACTCTGAAAATCTGTCAATTAATAATAATTGTCAGAAGTCTTTAAAAATTGATAAAAACTGTCCCTTATAAATTGCTATATACTTTTATATACTTAAAATGAATGTATGCTTGCTGAATCTTTAAAGTTTGGTAAATTCACCTAATTATCAACCAAACTTCCCATCAAATATGACCTGTAAACTTCATATGCAGATAAAAGAACCAGATTTTCACAAACTGAAACTGGAAAAATTAAGTAAATTGTTCGTTCACTAAATTGGCTGCTTGGCAAACTAATATTCAAAGAATTTTCATGTTCTTTGTTAGAAGAGAAAAGAAATCAGCTAAGTCTGAAAGTAACAGTAAAGATCTCCAAAGCTGGGTGTTGCCAAGAAGCAGCTGATGGGGCCAACAGAGGCGGGAGCATGACAGACCGTTTTCCCCACCGCCCAAGCTGGTGTATGCCATGTTCCGACTGCACAGCCTAAGAAATTATACTATTTCTATTAATGAGCAGACCATATCCTAAATTTTATAATGTTAACATTATACGAAATTGGAAGCTAAAATGTTTGTAGTAATTGTTTCTATGATGTTTTTCTTCTGCCTTAAGTTTTATGTTTCATTAATATTTTTTAGGTTTGAAAAAATTTCAAAATTTCAATTAAAAAAATTTCTAAATACCACTTAATACATGTGAGCCTCATTATTCACAGATTCTGTATTTGCCAATTTTCCTCCCCTCTGAAAATTTATTTATGAACCCACAATCAGTGCCTGTGGCACTTCAGGGGTCATCTGTGGACATGCATGGACTGTAGAAGAAACAGTCACCTACACGCACATTCCTAGCCAGGAGGAAGAAGGCCATGCCCTGCCTTCCGGTTCCAGCAGAAATGGTGAAGAAGCATTCTCTTTATGATCAATTTAGTGTCACTGTTTTGAAATGTGTGTGCTTTATGTTGGTGATTTTGCTGTTTAAAATGTCCCCAGTCCTAAGTGCAAGATGGCTGTGATGTGCCTTTTGGAGAAAATATGTATGTTAGGAAAGTTTCACGCAATGAGCGACAGTGCCGTTGGTCATGAGCTGGATGCCCATGAAGTAACGATATCCACGAAATAAGGCGCCTCTGAACAGAAGCACACACAAAACAAGGTTCTGTATGACTGGCTGATGGAAATGTAGTGAGCAGAGGCTCTCAGGAGCCTACCCCCGGGTTTACCCAGAGGCTACAGTACAGTATTCACTCGGTGTCTGTGCAACTTTACAGAGTACAACTAACTGAATGACAAGAATTGCCTGAATATCATAGTTTAGGATTTAGTCTTTTCTTCATATTAATGATTTATTCTTTCCTATGTCTTATTGCCTTAAATACAGAATCAAAAATTTTAAGTTTGTTTCTAGCTTTGCTATGAACAGCAATCTTAAGTTATCTTTATTTTTCTGGATCTCCTCATGTGTAAAATTAGATTACATGAACTTTAATATATATATACTTCTAATTTATTTACATAAACATGAATTATATTTAAATGCCAGTGGCCAAAAAAGTGACACGAATCTAAAATACTTTAATTTTAAAAGATAGATTTAATGACAACTTGTGCCGGTAAAGTGTAAATAGGGTTCAGTTAGCCACAAGAGTGTAACGGGGACCAGTAGCTCCTCTGCAGGCCTTGCTTGCCTCAGCCACACACCCTGCTCTTCCCTTTGGCAGCTGTATCTTCCTGCTTAAAGGGCGGGGTGCAAGGGAGGCATAGGTGAGAAAAGTGTGAGAACACGTCGAAACAGGGCAAACTACCGGCACAGAAAAATGAGCATGTGGATGCTCTATATCAGGGGTTGGTGATCAGTATCATCGCTACGTGGTGGAGTAGCCAAAGAGTTCAGTTTTAGTGCCAGTGTGGCTGGGGCAGAAAGACCACATGAGAAAAAAGACTGAGAATTCAGTAAAGCTTGTCATGGGGCATGTGCCTCTAAACCTTTCAACCCAGACAGGGCCTAGGGGAGGATGGAGGACACAGCTGGGGCAGCTGAGAGGTGCCTGGCTTCGATGATGCAGAGGACACCAACCCCGCAGAGTGACACCACTGCTATGCAGGGTAGGAAGGGCACACAGCTGCCTTGGCTATCCAGTTTCCATGAAGAAAAAAAAATCGTTCAGAATTTATAACTTATTCTATACCTAGCAAGATTCTAGAAACATTTAGGTGTATATCAATCTATCTATCCTTTATATAGTATCTCTAAATGTGACTGTTTTTTTAAAAGAAATTCTCTTTCGGAGCTCTGAACAATGGAAGATGGGCAAGAGGACGCAGACCTCTTTCCCTCCTATATAAACTGATATTCAAAGTGTATTTGAGTAGGACATTTATATACACCTGCTCTCTTTCCAAATAAAGACAAAAATTATACTTTCCTACATTTTGAAAAATCTCATTTTACAGCCAGCTTTCCAAACAAAATATACTAACAGGAAACTAAAAAGAGCGATATAGAGCCTGTTTTCCCCCTAATAGTGTCCAAATTACCAAAACCTTCATACTTAGGGTAGAATAGAAAGACATAAATCAAAGGAATCACTGGGGATATGAAATAAATTCATAAATTTAAATAAATAAATATCACATAGTTAAAAAATAAACTAGATATTTGTTGGGATGAAAAGAGATTAATTCAAGAAAAACAAGTGTATTTGGCATTAAAAGTAAGGTTACTAGCGCTGCTTCTTACCAATGAACTTCTGGCACCTGAAGCATTCCTCCAGCCACTCTGGTGTCACTATGTGCTTCACGACAGAAATCGCCATCAGGAACTTCACAGTGCGAGTCACTTTGCTGGCAATGAGGTGTGTGCACTTCTGTGCAGACTCTGCAACCTCCCCACCGAGAATGTAGAGCTTCTGAAGATCACAGACACAGGTGAGAAACGAAAAAGTTCAGCATTCATAGTGCCACACCGACAGAGAGTAACATAGAGGAATACCTATCTGAAGGTAAGGTTTATGACTAATTCTCAGCCACAGACAACAGTGTGACAGGTAAAACAAAACCCAGAACTCCAGGAGAAAAATAAAAAGGAGGATGTATCATTTACACTTCTGTAGTTCAGATCCACACAAATCAAGATAAAAGTATGAATTCTCCATCAAACATCAATAACATCTCCATGAATAAGTTAAATGACATGAGAATGATGCAGCTCACTTCACAATGAAGGGTAAACAGCCAAGACTTGCGAGGCCGAAACTGGTGTTAATGAGGAACATTTACCTGCTCTTCGGTTTTTGAAATAATGGCATAAAAATTGACTAAGATATGAACATATAAAAAAGCAACCTCCTAATAACTATCTTCACATTTTAAAGGTGGGGAAATTAATATGTTCTAAATGTATAATAGTAGCATTGATAATTGTTTCTTTTCCTTAAAAAGGCAACTAGGAAGAAAATGTATGAATCCACCATAATACAGGTCACCTTAGACTCTTAACCCAAACAAAACAAAATCCCATCATCCTCTGGGCTGTTATTTCAAAAAGCATATTTAAAATCTGTGCTCATTTATCATCTAAACAAATATACTCCCTTTGGCCTCACTCTACCCAAGATAACTAATCGTGAATAGACTGTTTCAATCAGAGAACTTGAAAACAGTTTTCCTTCATGCTGGATGTCTTCATGAATATGGTACGGAAGGAGACTTGCAAATGTTCATGTGACTATTAGCATGGAACTTGGCCTATACTAATAAGAAAGCAAGTATCTAAGTATGAAATAATAGCACAGAACAGGGCAGAAAGTCACTAAACATTTAATGACTAGGATTACTATAATGACTACTAAAAATACTTCATAAACATGCACTATAACAACAAGATATTCCTGGCTATCTAAACTATGGAAGTTAACTGCTGAAGTAAATATATACAAAAAGAAACACTGCTAAAAATCCTTTTACAAAGTAGATGAAATTTCACCTTAATATACTGTTGAACCTGGACAGGCTCGAATCCAGTGAAAAGCACAAGAGGGGTCAATTCTGGAGTTAGCTTTTTAGTGGGAGGTGGTATGTCTTCAATTCTGTAGAAGAAATACACATGAAACAGTGGGGATTTCATATTTACTTAAAATGAAAATTTTCTTTAGAAAACAGGGATTTCAATAGTTTAACGAGCTTTAACTGCACGTGGTTTTTACTCTTAAAGGAAAAGTATAAAAGCTATCTGTCGTTCCTTTCTTTCCACCGCTTCCATAAAGTCACCTTCTAAGACTATCTCTGAAGCCTCCCAGGAACGTGTCCAATTCCCTTTTAGTTAAGATCAAGGGACGTGTCCAATTCCCTTTTAGATCAATACTTCTTCTTCATCAATCCCCTCCGGATTAATTTTTTTAATGGGCTTTAAGAAGAAAGCAAATATCAAAGTGGCTTCTAAATGTCACTGATTGCTTAATCACTTCATTTTTTTCTATCAAGTTTTTAAAATAAACTTGTGTGACTCAGGCCACTCCTTGCTTGCCTGTTCACCATCAATATAAGTCAGCCAAGATGTGTACCCCTAGAGCTTCCAGTGTCCTTTGTATTCTAGCCCTCTTCAACCACAAATTATAAAAACACGGTTCTGCTCAAGCACACGTTTTAAATGAAACCGTTTTTGTTTTTTCCGTAACCCTCAAATTTTTTAGGTCTTTTCAGTTATTATTTCCCGAAACAGTCCAAGAAAATTTTACTTTAAAATTTATTTGTGGCAAGTTGATGACAGCCTCAAAAAATATAATCACATAATTAGGATTTTATTACTAAAGTCAATAGGTCAGTTTGTGTTCTGGAAGTGGGGAATGGAAGAAGGGAAAGATGAGGAGCAGGGAGAGAAAAGATAAGGAACCTAGTAACTGCAAACAATTCAGGCAGTTATATTTCACCATGTACAGTTTGGAAAGAGTTTTCTAGAACCAAGGAAGAAAATACAAGCCCTGTTGGTTTGCTCCTGCACTTGCTATGCCTTACTAACGGAATGACTGGCAGGACTTCACCACTGTCGTGTTGGCCGACACAGCACTAAAATGACATGCATCTCAATCTGCATACTCCAAGCTAAAACCCAACACACCACGTGCACTGCACATGTCCTTCCAAGGCTTTGGGTCTGGATCCTCCTTCCCACCGTGGCCAACACTGCTTGGTCCTCATTGAGAACTGGCTGATCCAAGGAACATACCTGAGATGACACCATGGCCTAGATGCTCTCTAGGTATCTAGAGCAGATTCTTCGGCTGTGCCCAGGAAGCCTGGGGCTCTGTGATGTACTGCTGAACTGGGTTCTGGACCTCCCACCCCATTCCCACCACTGCTGCTTCTGTTTTCCATGGTAGAGAGGGGCTTCTCATAGTATATCGCTTAAAAAAAGACTCAATTTTTTAAAAAATAAAAAACGTACTGGCCTATGTCATTATTCACCATTTGTCTCCAGCACTAAAATGAAATATATCACAATAAAGTTGAAAAGCAGAAAGCAAACTCTTTCAAATCCTATTTACTGAAAAACATTTTAGAAACTTTCCTCAATTGCCACCAATTTTCCAAAGCAGACCTGTGAAAGCCATCAATAAAAAATGTAAGGCTACTACCCTTACCTGGCTCTTTTGGAAGAAGGCTGAACATTGGCTACTTCATTCTGCTTCAGTTTGGAAGGCAGCCGTACGCTCTGCAATTAGAACATTGTCTACTTTACTTCCGTCAACCTACCAAGTAATACAGTAGCTTCCAAAAGATTTACATGTCAAATAATCAAACTACTTAATCATATAATATACAAGAATCATGCTCTTCTTCACATCAGAACTAGTCTTCATCTCAAAAGATCACTCGGACAATGGAAGCCAGGAGAAGCTAATATTCCTGAGGGAACCTCTGCACTGTGTGTGTGTGTTTTTTTTTTTTTTTTTTTTTTTTTGCTTTTTGCTTTCCCTCTTTATTTGACAAATCCTTTCAGTGCTTTAAGTATCTTTGTTCCTTTCTTTCCTCCATGTTACATATATGCATCCCTCAAAGCTGAACTTCTCAGAATGGTTTTCATTTCAAGTATTTTCTCCTATGTCCCAATTTAGAATGTGAAAAACATGATCAAAATTACACCTCCATCCTAAAAGACTATTCCTATAAGAGAAATTTCACCAATGAGATTTCACAAAAGATGTTACATGACAATCTGATCAACATTGGTACCAAGAGCCAGACAAGGTGCCAAAACCCACACTCTGCCTCAGCAACATGCTGACCTCCACTGGGACCGGCTGCAGCACTAACCCTGGAGCAGAAGCCATGCCAAGTGAAGAGAGAGCAGAAAGAAGCTGGGATTTCCTTGTGGGGTCCCTACCACAGTCAGATCTCCATTCTACCCCTCCTTGCTCACTCCTACCTTCGTATTTGAACTCAGAGGTTCTTGGACTTGTGTGGGCCAACCATGTCTTTCCCAGATGTTCTATTATTTGAAGGAACTGCTCTCAATCTTATTAATTTAACTACAACTTACTTTTTCTAAATACTGCTGCCATATCTAGAATAAATATAAGCAAATCTAAAGAAAGTATTCAAAATCTGTTAGCGCTGTCATACATAGAGAATCAAGCTTCATAGTAATTTGCAGGAAAGTTTATACTTTTTCTTGTTATAGCCCTTATAAGAAAACAATCTCTCAACTCCCTATTTCCAAAGACTGCAGTTAAGTCTCCAAATTATCATTCTTTGGTACCAAGAACAGAAACAAATGGTGGGAAAGACAAAAATGGTAAACTGGCCTGTCTCTAAGATTTTTAGCTTTTAATTACTGATGCAAAGCCACAAGAGAAGTTGACATCTGGAGCCCCTGACAACCTCAGGATTTAAGCCATGTGGTTTGGGAGGAAAACTCTGATGACCACTTTCCCAGTGTGAGCTTAAAAGCCACCATAAAATTCCTTTCAGTTAAATGAACTGGGAGAAAAGTTGCTTTTGCTGATGTGTCAGAACTGGTCATGTCATATTAAAGTCCTAACTACTAGTGTAAGCTAGTAGGAAAAAAATATATCTATGATCACATTATCATTAGCATGAAGAAAACAAGACTGTGGCTTGGAAGGGCTTCCTCAGAGACTTGGGATGATTATTAGCAACTTCCAGATGAGATCTGAAAAACGAGTAAGTCAGTAGATGAATAACCAGAAACACGAGCCTGGATGTTAGCTGCTAATCCTTATGAGACTATTCTCCTCAGCTAATTGTTCAAGTGGCACCAACCCTAAATGACCACTGTATACAAAAGAAATGTGGTGAAAACTTGGTAGGTACATGACATATGGAAATCTGGTTTTCAAAACAAAGGTTAATATATAATGACATGAACATAAACCAAAGCCTTCAAATAAAAAAAAAAAGCCAACAGTAAAAAAACTGCTGTTCTCAAAGTGCTGATGTTCAGTCAAACAGTGAGAAATCACAGCAGACAAAGTCTAAAGAGAAATGATTAAAGTGGCCCTGTCTGTAACTTAGTAGACATGAATGTGGGAAAGAGAAGACACAAGTGATCTTCCACTCTTTATATCTGACTGATGAGAAGGCAGAAAGCACCTCTTTGTCTTCTAACTGACAACCAATGGCCTCAAATTTCAAGAATGGCCTACCCTGAAAAGCAGAGACCTCAAGCACTGGGATGTGACTCCCAGCTCGAGACACTGAAAATATTTCCCCTCATCACGAGACCCAGGACTCCTTAAGTTCTGATCTGTAGCCCCAAGTAGGTTACACATCCATTGCTTCTTGCCTTTCGTTAACCCTACAAAAAACAAGACGTCATCTTTGATTTTACTGTTCTCTGTAAGCAATCACACAGCTCTCTGAAGCAAATAAGCCTCTCACATGTATATATATGAAAATGACAATCATATCCTAACAATTAAGAGAAAAATCAGTCCTAGGGTTTGCTGAACAAGTGAGTAGATACAACCTTCATTTGTTATCATGTTGACAAATCACTAAAATAATTTGAATTTATGAAGACAAATACATCCGTACTGCATTTTAATAATACAGTAATAGCCAAAGGAAGGTTATATTAATCTGACATACCATCAACGACTCTGCAGTCACTTTTAAGGGAACTCTCCAAGCATCTAAAGAGAGAAACACATTATTTTTTATGGCAGCTACTCTGTTTAAATAAAAAGTCCCTGATAACTCAACAGACAGGTGGCTTAGCTGACAACACTTAATAAGGACAAATGTAAGTATTCTAAGGAAGTTTTAAAAAAAGCTTTCCAGGCAAGGCGAGGGCATGCTGCTGCTCTCGTTTTACATGCTGTCTGCATGAAGAGCACTAAGACCAGTGGCGGCAAACAAAGCAGATGTTGTGTCAAAACCCACGGCAATCTCCCTACCGTGCGTTGTCTGGGTAGATCTTTCCAGGCCTGTGTCCAAGTCTGGGTTTCACACAGTCTGGCCTCTAGCAGGCACAAACCTTCCTGCCTATCACAGGGGCCATGAGGACATCCAGGACGTAACAGCAAGTCAGTCAAAGCTCAACAGTGACAGAGGACAGACGTCAATTCTATTGAATTGACAGAAAGTGGGGAATGTTCTGGAGGGTAGGGAGCAATTTGGACAAAAGATTAACTGGCCTGAGAGACAAGACTATCAAAAAGCTTTCAAGTGCTGCTTCCATCTCTAAGAGTTGATCAAAAGCCAACAAAAACATCAAATCATGGCACACGCCTCAAGTTGCAGCTACTTGGGAGGATGAGGTGGGAGAATCACCCAAGCCCAGGCAGTCAAGGCTGCACTGAGCCATGATCACACCACTGCACTCCAGCCTGGGTGACAGAGTGAGACTCTGTCTCAAAAAACCAACAAACAAAAATCCTCAGCAGAGTGGGGAGAAGAAAGGAAGAATAAAGAATGGAAATTGAAAATCAGTCAAAAACTGATTAGAAAGCTCAAGCCAAGCCCAGTGATTAGTATGAATAAAAAGATGGTAAAAGCAATGTTAGTACTTTTAAGTAAGATTTACAGCATGTAGAATTTTACTTACCTAAAAGATTGAAAACTAAATGCTGGGTCGGGGCAAAGGGGTCCTGCAGACCGAACACTGTGTAGCGACTGTACTGAATCTGCCTCAGTGCCTCAAAGTTTCCCAGAAGAATGTCACCAAGCCACTGGGCATTGACACAGGGTATCCTCCACTCTTTGGCTTTTTCATACTTTAAACCGGTTGGTCTTTTTATTTTTTGAGGAGAAAACATATTTATTAAATGTTAGAGATGTCAACTGTCCAAATTTATATTTATTTCCAACAAAGGCAATAAGATATTTCTCCTAATATGAGTGGAAGGCATAGCCTAGCAAACTGACGGTGACCCTGCATGGCAGTAAAACATCCACCTCAAGGCTCAAGCAGAATTACAAAACCACCTATTCCTATTTTGCTAATTCAAATTTCATTAATTCAAATGTTTTCTAGGTATTTCTATTAACATTATTATAAATATCATTGTCATACTTTGTTTAACAGAGTTTAATTTCCACAAATTTCTATCACAAAACTATGACATACTAAAAAATGCACAATTGACTATACGGTGTATAAATTTAAGATTAAAAACGGTTTCAAAAATTTGCTTACTCTTTACAGATGAGGACTGTGTTGCTGCGGCATAGATAACCCGTATACTTGGCGCCTGCCAAATAAGCCATTAATTTTAGGTCATCTCTGTCACTATCAACAAATCCAGTCACAGAAATAATCTAAGAAAAAGAGAGAGAAAATAAGGTAAAAACAAAACAAAACAAAAAACCAAAACCAAGTACGATTTCTTCTACTTCTTAGATGACATATATTTTTTCACTATTTCTTTGGCATTATGGAACACATTTGGTAATGTCATTCCTAAAACTGTCAAGACCAGAATTTTATTAAAATACTAAAAAGGTAATACACAAAGCCCGAAGAAGAAAAAGAATGAATGTGAGATGCCTTGTTTCTGTTACTGCAACACTGCTCAGATGATCCCAACAGTTATGTCATAAAGCGTGTAACCACGAGCCGGCTGAGCCAGCTCCTCCTCCTCGCTGATTCCAATGCGGAGATCATCTGAGTGGAAGGACCCATGACTACTGATTAGTTCCACCCAGTAGGGGTGGCCTTTGGTGCAAGACCCCTGATTTATTTTTGGATTTTAAATAGGGTCAAAGACTAAAGAATCCATTTAAATACCTACTATGTACAGAAAGCTGTGACTGTTACAAGGGGAACTGGAAGAAAACAAGCTACTTCTTACGAGCAGGCACTTATAAAATGGGCAAAAGTACACAGAGAAGCTCTGACGCGGAAGCCAATGTGGGAGCCTCAGGTAAGTGCTAGCACATGATCATCTGCCAAAGCAGAAGAATGATGTAAGCATGGAACACGAGGGCTCTGTCTCACATGCTGTGAACACGGCTTTCCTCCTGGCGGGAAGGCCACTGGGAAGTGCAGGGCTCGGTGAGGCGGTACCATTTTCTTCTTCTTTAAGACCGTGTTTAACCAGTGCGCAGTAACACATCTCTTTCTTTCTCTTATTGCCTATCAAACAAAAAGTTAGAGGTTTGTTGTTTTTGTTTTTCTGCTGCGGGATTAAAGAAAATTGTAAGGTTGTATAGGTACAATGCCATTTTCACTGGCAGCCCCATAAGAGAATTTCATGACATTTAGCACTTGATTAAGGTAACACATTAAAACCCTGTAGCTGGTTACTTGAAATATAACCCAAAAATGTTACTATCTATCTGCAAACAAGAGTCTACAACTGAGGACAAAAGCAACAAATTCTACAACTTTAAGAAGAACTTGAGTGATGAATGAACTAATATGTATGATCACCAAAGTTAAAAGTGCCGCGTAAGAACACAGAGGGCTCCATGTAAGAAAAGTAGAAAAAACTCATCTGCCTAAAATGAACCACAGGAAAACAAAAAATGCCTCAGAAGTATTTCCACATTTTTACTGGAGTAGATCCTGCGAGTGGCTATCCTCTTTAAGAGGGGTATCTTGGACGTCATTTGTCACATATATATAAACTGTCTACAAGAAGCACAATTTTATGAAAAGAAATGAAACTTCAGAGAGTACAAGAAGGTAATACTGAGGAGAAAGCTTGCATCCGGTAGTTTCAGAAAAGCTCTGCAAGGGACCTGGCCTTTGCACGCTTGTGTGGGAGTCACACACCAGTGCACACAGTGTTGCTGGGTGACTGCAGGGAGTGTCCACCCTTCTTACCACCTGGGAATATCCCTTTCTTTCTCCATTGCTCAAAGACAATGGTGCCCACAAAAGGTATCAATCCCACCAAAGAATCCATCACAGGAAGAAGCAATTTTCCTATCTTTCGAGGCAGAAAAGTCCTTTCCAAAAATAATAATCAATCACTAGCATTTACTGCATGTAAAAAATGACAGATGTTGTTCCCGGTGGCAGTTAAGGCTGTCTTCCTTACCTGTGCATACACACTGCTGACTTGACTCTCACAGAGAAGGTGCGTGCATCGACTTGTGAACGTGGGGTCAACAGTGCCACCGTGTGCCTGGATTATCTAGACACAAAGACCCGACCAATGCGGTCACCAATGTTAATCATTCAGAATAGAGGAGACTTCCAATTTCAAATCAGACAGCTGTCAAAAGACTCTATCACATATTTATATCATGTATTTCCCCGAAGTTATCAAGGACATGTAACAGTTATATTTGCAGACTTTTCTACCCAGCACCATGCAATGAAAATGAACTCCAATACTATAAATTTAATCTGAATTTCCAGGAAACAAGAGAACAACACTGGAATGAATGCATCCTAGGGTTTCTCAAGCTCAGCTGAACCAGGGGGTTCTGGGATGTGGTGGCTATCCTGAACAGAAGAGGATGCTACCCATCCCATGCCAGCAGCAGCCCCTAGCCATGACCACTTAAGATCTTCAGATATTGCAAAAGGTTTATGGTGGGCAGATCCACCTCCCTTAAAAAGGGAAATAAAAAGCAAATCAGAATGAAATTCATAAATCCCAACTGTTTCTTCTCAAAACAGATGTGGTTGTCTGGGGGAAGGAACTGCTGTGGGCATTTGTCAGAACTCAAAATACTGTACACGGAAAAAGGAGAGTTTGATGGCCTATTAGGTGAAATATAAACTTTAAGAAGACCTGCCCCCAGCCAGGCGTGATGGCTCACACCTGTCATCCCAGCACTTTGGGAGGCCAAGGCGGGTAGATCATGAGGTCAAAAGTTTGAGACCAGCTTGGCAACACAGTAAAACCCCATCTCTACTAAAAATACAAAAATTAGCCAGGCATGGTGGTGCGTGCCTGCAGTCCCAGCTACTTGGGAGTCTGAGGCAGGAGAATTGCCTGAACCCAGGAGGGGGAGGGTGTGGTGAGCTGAGATCGTACCACTGCACTCAAGCCTGGGCAATAAGAGCGAGACTTGGTCTCAAAAAAACCACCTGTCTCCTCAAAAAAACAATTGTTTCCTTTACTAGTTTTAAGACGTAAATGTTTATTTTTCCTATGGCCAAACATCGACATAGTGTAATGAGGTACAGAACAAAACTGCAGCCTCCTTGCCCATCCCTCCTTTTCACTCCCCTGAAACAAGCACATTTAGCACCTTAAAGCTGTTTCCTCTGACAATTATTTTTTTATTTTTTAATATATATACTTTATTGTACTTTAGGTGCTGGGGTACATGTGCAGAACATGCAGGATTGTTGCATAGGTACATACATAGCAATGTGGTTTGCTGCCTCCATCCCCCGTCACCTATATCTGGCATTTCTCCCCATGTTATCCCAACAGCGGGAAGAGGATTGAGGGAGCCCCCACGGTCCATGGGGACCCCAAGTGTCATCGCTTCTACAATGAGTCGCAGGAGGCTGGCAGGGTGCCCACCCAGCAGGCACAGTAGACAGCAGCCAACCCTTCTCCAAGCACCGGCAGAAAACGGAGAGTGCTTAGGTGGTGGGTACTGGAAGTACAGGTTTGGGAAGGCGGGAGAGACATTTTTATTTTTTTTTCTGCTCGTGCATTTATACTTGGAAAGAGACCAGCACTGAGCTCGGCACCTCCCTGCTTCTCTCTTCCTAGTCACAGATGCTACGCCTGCCCATTTTTGCTTCCCCCTGGGGAGGAAGGGAGTCATGGTAGGGAAGCTGGGGTACAGGTTTGGGAACGGAGGAGAGACATTTTTATTTTTTTAACCCCTGTGACTCTTTTGCTTATGATTAAAGGAAGGAAAAGTTAAAAAACAAAACAAAACAGGCAATTATGAATATATTCTAACACATTATATGATTTCCTTTTCTCTAGTTTTACATAACTATCTACTGACCTCCCACTGTGGACACCCTTCCCCCAAATAACACACACACTCCTCAAGTCTTCCTGATTTGGTTATATCAAGACTCTTGTTTAGATCAGTCATCAGTGACATAACACAATGTATCCTAAGATTAGAGTTCCTTTCTGGTATACACTTTGGTTTTCCCTGGTGCTTATCACTGCCTCATCCCAGTCCCCCCAGAATCTGTCCTTTTCTTAGTTTTCTACATGCCTTTCACTATTTGAACAGTGCACACGTGGTGGTTTTACAGTACGTCTGCAATTTATTGTATAATCCTCCCTCTAAGAGCTGGAGCTTTACTCACTTAGCTCTGAGTACGGACGGACTAGGCTTAGTCACTTAATACGGTGGAATTGACAGTGGGAGTCTCCCAGAACTCAGTCACAAAAGACACTGTAATGCTGTGGCTTTTCCCTCTATCTTAGGTCACGCCCTCTGGGGAAGGGAGCAAGCTCTCATGCTGTGAAGACATACAAGCAGCCCTCACTTGCGATGAGGACCTGAGGCCTCCAGCTCATAGCCATGTGAGGGAACCATCCTGGAAGGGGCTCCTGCAGCTTCCGCTGGCATCCTGACTGCAACCCCAGGAGACGGCTGAGTCACAAGCACCCTACCAAGCTGCTACAGGATTTCTGACCCATGACCAAACTGAGAAGTAGTTTATCGTTTTAAGCCACTAGGTTTTGAGACAATCTGTTACATAGCAACAGAAAATGAATGTACTATCACTGATCCTTGAGCAACAGGAGTGAAAACTGCGTGGGTCCACTGATAGCTAGATTTTCTTACACCTCTGCCACCCTTGAGGAGGTAAGACCAGCCCCTCCTGTCCCTCCTCCTAGGCCCACTCCTCATGAAGATGACGCGGATGAAGACCGCTGTGATGACATACTTCCCCTTAATGAATAGTACGTGTATTTTCTCTTATGATTTTCTTAATAACATTTTCTTTTCTTTAGCTTACTTTATTGTAAAAATACAGTATTAGACATATAAAATCTGCATTAACTGACTTTATCTCTAAGGCTTCGGATTAACTCTAGGCTATCAGTAATTCAGGTTTTGGGGACTCACAAGTGATGCACAGATCTCTGATTGCGTGGCGGTCAGCACCCCTAGGGCCCAGACTATTCAGGGATCAACCGTACCCGTCCCTCCGGAATCTACCAGTGCCTTTGTTTGTTTGCTACCCAGGAAGCCTCCCTTCTGGTCCCAAGTCTGGTTTTCTCCACACCTACTTTCTCATCTGGCATTTCCCCTCACCTCCATCCTGGCAATTCTCTTCCCATCTCGGAGTCAAATCCCTCATTTCTTACCACATCTTACTCTCTACTGGCATAGTGGCTTCCTAAGGAAGAATACAAGGGAGGTACTTTTTTGACCATTAGTATACAAATATCCATATTCCATTTCTTGTGACTAACAGGCTCTATTTAGGTTGGAAATTATTTCCCCTCGAAAACAAAAGCTGCTGCTCTGTCGCTGGCTCCTGAAACCACCCCGACTCCTGATCTGTCCAAGTTTCCCTTCCAGGGAACTTGCGTTTGTCTGACAGAAAAGTGTTCTCTCCAGCCTTGTGAACGTTCCCAGAAGCCTTATCACAGCTCTCCTTCCATTTCTCTTCAATCTGGGGGCACACAGCCTTCAGCTGCCAAGCTACGTTCTTTCCTAACGTTTTTGCCTTCATTTTCTCTGTTCCCAAGCTCCTATTTAATGTCAGACCTCTCAGATAAATCCTTTAACTTGAGAACAAGACCAAAAACCCAAACTTTTCTCCACTAACTTTCATATCTTTGAGTTTCATTGTACTTCTCAGGACAGTTTCTCAATGTTGCCTTTGAACACTTGTTGACTTTTAAAAAGTTTCTGCTGCTGCCCTTCTCAGAACTGCCCCTCCCTCCCTCACCCCGGCATGTCCTTTGCCTCTCTCCCCAGCCGACCACAGTCATCTCCCTGGTTGCTCTCAGATTCAACACTTTACTACTTAAAACACACAGCCGATCACTCCACCTGCATCGAAATTCCACCACACGGTACATCAACAAGTTCTTGGAAGACACGGAAGACAGGCCAGCCCTGGCTCCTGTACCCCCTCCTGCCTTGCGGATCCCACTGAGGCACCATCCTTTGCACCCTCCTGTCAGTTTCCCCAATTACATGCCTTCGCCTGTGCTGCACTATTTGCAAACTCCTTCCCGCCTAATTCTTACTCCTAGCCATTCCATAAGCAGTTCAGGAATCACCTCTCCCAGTAGACTTTTCTTAACACATCACCCCACAACACAATGGGTGAGGGTCCTTCTCAGGCTCTCACAACGGCCTGCACCTGCCAACCTGCGTCTCCCACAGCTCTTTGGCTTTCTTCGTCTCTGCGATTTCACATACCTTCCCTAGGTCTTGCAGGCTTGGCATATAGCAGGGATTTAAGCACTAGGGATGTTTATGGTGAAGCACATTAAAAATGTATTAGAGGCATATTTAAACTCAGTTTTTATTAAAAAAAAATGTTTTTTTGACTCAGTTTTATTCTGTGGAATGCAAGAAAGAAAAAGCATGTCTTTTCTTTAAAGGCCACCATGCAAGATAATAAATAGATAAATGAACTAGTTTCACATTTGGGCTAAAAGACTTTGAGGTTCTAGAGATTCCGGGATTCCTAACAGTTACCTTTGGAGAAAGAGAAATGACTGAGATGCATACAAATTAATGGTCCTTCTCCCAGGACACCAAAAACCCGAACTTATTTCCATCATCCCAATTATATACAAATAATTAGTACCTCTCGGAATTTCCAAGCTGGAAAAAAAAAATGTCCACCATCTTCATCTAACAGCTGAGAAAACTGATGCCCAGAAAAGCACTGTGCCTGAGGTCAGAGAATGTTAATCAAAATGCCTGTCACGCATCAGAACACATGTAGGCGCAGCTCAGCGAATGCAGTCTAGTGAACATAGTTACGTCTACGTAAGAAAGAAGCATCTTCAGACACAAAGTCATCCTTCCTCCAGGCACAATCTTACCCTTTTCCATGTGGCCAGCAGTTGCTTATCAGACATCTGCTCTGGATAATCCGCAATTGCAAACACACATCCCAATAAGAAGGCTTCTTCTGGAACTAGAATAAAATTATGTAAGAAAAAGAAAATTAAACCTGATAAATGTGCTTGCACAAGTTAAAAAGTGGCACCTTACAATGTGAATCTGTTATGTTCACCAGTCTTTACCATGTATCTGCCAGTAATCAGAGTGCATGGGGAATACTGCTACAATTATACTAGTTAACTGTCTGCATCAAACAAACATTAAAAACTAAAAGCAAAATAAATTATGCCTGGCCATTAAATACCCAAATGTGTCCCTGGGGCAACCCAGATGTTCTATGGGACCCAATATTCACTTCAGCATACGATGTCCCAAAGTATAAAGGAAAGCATAATCATCCTGTGATAACTATATTCTTAGTCAGGTATGAGGCTCACATTCTCCATCTTGTAATAATTGTTTTGATATGAATCCTTACCCAACACTCAAACACTCTCAAAGCATTTATGCGGGTACAAGACTTTTAGGAGGAAAAAAAAATCTCCATTACTAACTCTCCACTGCTGGATCATGTCCAAAAAGCTGATGATGCTGAGGTGGTGGTGGCGGTGGTGGCTGCTGCTGCTGCTGCTGCTGTGAAGGCTGCTGAGATGGAACCTGATGCTGCAGTGCCTGTGACGTTTGACTCAAGTGTGGCATGGTCTGACTTTGCATCTGCTGCTGCTGCTGCTGCTGCTGCATGCGCTGGAGCTGCTGCTGCTGAATCTGCTGCTGCTGCTGGAGCTGGGCGAGCTGCTGCTGCTGCAGCTGATGGAACTGCTGCTGCAGGGCATGCTGCTGCTGAAAGGACTGGAGCTGCTGCTGAGGGCGATGCAACTGCTGCGGAGGATGCAACTGTTGCTGTGGAAACTGTAGCTGTTGCTGCGAAAACTGATGCTGATGGGTTTGCTGCTGCTGCTGCTGCTGCTGCTGTGAAAATGGGTGTGGCGGCTGCTGGGGGTAAGGGTGCTGAGAAAGCTGCTGCTGCTGCTGCTGGAGCTGCATTATCTGCTGGGGCTGAAGGTGTAAAACCGGGTGCTGCGGCGGCTGCTGTAACATGTGTGTCTCCGGAGTCACTTTCACTTGGCTGAACAGCACTGCACTGGCATTTGTATGGCCCTGCTGGCTGTGATTCACCTGCTGTTCCAAATTTTTCGTAGGTGCTGAAAGAGTCTGTAAGATCTACAAAACAAAAGTTAGGTCAAACATGATCAACAGTTCCTGAAATGGACGAATGACAGTTTCTTAGTCAAGAGAATAATAGCATATCCTACAGATTTATTCATAATATTCAACCAAGCAGACACAGCAAATGATTGGAAACTTCAAAAACGATACTGCATTTGCTTTTATATTTATTTTGTAACACCAATATCACAAAGTAAATTCATACATAGAGACCATCAAAATATGAAACTACATCAGTAAAATGGAATAAGCTAACAAATTAAAGTGACAATGACACAGGGTTTGCCAGAGCAGGGCGTGTGAGTCCTGTGCGCACCTGGAGGCTGAGCCTAGGCGCTCCCTGGGCTGTGCTGCCACACTTCTCCACTGCCCATCGGCCTCCCGTCAGCTCTGCAGGCCTTCTCCTGGCCTAGGAATGCACTAGGGAATGACAGGTGGTGAAGGCATTTGGTCATCGGGCTCAGCCTCGCCTCAAACCTTCTTGCCACAGCTGCCACTTCCCATTTCCTCCTGTCCTATGGCCCAGAGTCTAGTAAAGAAAGGTTCTCAGTGAATCACCTTCCAGAGGAAAGCAGCCATGACCCAAGCTGTGACTCCCAGAGCCCTTCGCTCCACTGTCAACTTGCTCCGTGCACTGGCACACTACAGAAAAGGAGGCCAGCTCAGATACCACCAGCGCTGTTTAAATGGTGACATTCCCCCAACTAAGAACTCATCATCGAAGCTGGGAAATGATGCTTCCTCAAAAATGACTGAGTTCTTCATGTGGGACAAAAATATTTCAAGCTAGAAAAAAATAATTCAATAGTCAAGCCAGACTATTTCTCTTCTATTTCTTTCTGCTTCACAATGACAGGGAATAAGCTGACAGTTCTGCATATGCTGAGGAGTAGGAGAAGGATGGTGACCAGCCGATACCCACCAAGCAGAGCAAGTTACTTTTTTAATACGCTACAGGGTGCTGAATAAAACAAAAGAGACATGTTACACAATGAATTCTGTTCAACATGCTCAAGTAACAAAAATCTGAAACCAACTTCTTACGGCCATGGAAATCAGTAAAAATAAATTTTACTAAACTCAACCCATACAACTTTTAACCCTATTAAAAGCATTTAAATAAAATTCTAGGAATTCTATTTTAACACATATCAGAACTATACCAAAATCTCAAACATTCTAACATATATGTTTCACTTACACAGATGCCAAAATGCAAAGGCTATATGACCCACAAGGGTAACAGATTTTGGATTTAGTGATAAATAATTGAGTTTAGAACTGAAATAAGTCAAAATCAAGAGCTTCGGCACACCCATCTTTAAAAACTACCTTCTGTATGAGGTATCTCTATTAAGGAGATTCAAGACTTCAGAGACATCTGAGTGGAGCTCTAAGCAGAAAAATCTCTTTTAAACAAAATAATAAGATAACTGTTTCATCTCTGTATTTAAAAGTAGTTTAAAAAATCCAGAAAAGAAGAGGGGAAAATTCACCCCACCACATGCCACACGTGGAGCCCAGCAGCATCTGGTGCTGTGTGAACCTTCTAGGGAAGCGTGGGTGTGTAGGGCATCTGCCTGCCTAGTGGGCACCAGCCATGAACCCTACACGACAAACTGCTGCAGATAGTGGCTGCCTCCTGAGCAGGTGAACGGCAATGAGGGATGGGAGGTGGCTGGGAGTTGAACTTTTCACTGTCCTTTGGTATAATTTAAATTTTTAAATTTTGTACACGTATTACTTTTTCTCCCTCATATGTAAATAGCCCATGGAACTCTGAGGGACGGTAAGGAAATAAACACCCATCTGCACGTGGACGGGGCTGAACCAGTCATTTGCCACCTACTGCTCCCTGCCTCTCTGCACCTTCCAACCCCAGGTGGAAGGGAGCTCAGGAAGGAGCAAAGGACCTAGACAAATACAGCAGCAGACGTCAGGACAGGACAGAGGCCAGAGGCCCCGACTTTTCAGATTGGCCAAGAGGACTCAGCAGGGTCTGCCGCCTGCAGAAGGTGCTCCATCTGATGTCAGAGGGCTCAGGGAGGCCTGGGTAGTACAAGAGGCAAAGTACAGCTATTTCTACTACAGGCTTCAGTTAAGACAGGTCCTTGCCCACTGCTGACCCAGCCCATTAGGGGAGAAGAACAGATGGAGATTCAGGACGACACTGCCAGCTAGGAATGAAGACGGCCATTGGCCTGGAGGCTTCTCCACTTGATGTGGCGAGAGGTGTAGGCTGGAAAGGAGGCATCTGCAAGGCCAGCCATCGAGATGCTGCCCAAAACCCCTACCACATTCAGGTGACCACTTTGTCAACCATCTGACCTGCTTCTGGCTGAATACATGTAAGCCCTGGAGAACGCACGAAAAAGAATCTTAAATTGCTCAATTACAATAATTGTGCTATACTACAAACAATTCTGAATAAATGTCCAGTTTAAATTTTTCCATTCAACTGTCAAAATTCTCCTTTACATGACATTAATACTGAGTTACTGCATGCCACAATATAGAAAGCATCATGCTACACACCACATGGCTTCTAACCAGTATACATTTGCAATATAAAGAGGAGTTTGACGGTAAGTTACAGCCCACCTCCCAGAATCTGATGTTAACTACATCTGTCTCATATTTCTAAAGTTTCAAAAAGTCATTTTCTTCACGTCTAGCAGTAAAACGTCCTTATGTTCTCTTGCATTGCTCAAAGTCTCTCAGAAAAATCTCTGCAATTCTTCTCACTAGTGATCAGATCCATTCACTCACTAGAAATGGATGGAGGTGTCTCAGTTTTCCACCACTAGAGCACACAGCTGAGTATACCGAATCTGTCTCCAATGCAGAGATGTGCCCAAACTCCCTACTGCAGTCAATTACTTCCATTTCAAAGTAAATTATTTTGTCTCTATATCCAAATACAAACGTAAGGTACTTTGTATTTAAACCAACATCCATTTTATTGGAAAAACGAAGTAAAGCCAGGTGCAGTGGCTCACACCTGTAATCCCAGCACTTTGGGAGACCGAGGCAGATGATCACCTGAGGTCAGGAGTTCGAGACCAGCCTGGCCAACATGTCAAAACCCCATCTCCAATAAAAATAAACACAAATTAGCTGGGTGTGGTGATGGGCACCTGAATCACAGCTACTCAGAAGGCTGCGGCAGGGAAACACCTAAGCCCAGGAGGTGGAGGTTGCAGCGAGCAGAGACTGTGCCACTGCACTCCAGCCTGGGTGACAGAGTGAGACTCTTTGGTCAAAAAAACAACCAAAACATATAAAACAGAAATAAGTAGTAACTACCAGGAGTAACTGATCAACACTTTTTGACGCCACGAATAAATGAAGAGCAAAGAACATTTCCTGTTTCAAATGGGTGACTTCTGCCCATAATTTCTCATCTAAAGAAAGGAAGTAATATTTCTCGAGGTGCCAGAGGCTTCATCCATGGTTTCGCACACCAGCCCTATGAGAGATTTTTTATGGTCCATGTCCTGCATATCCCACTGCTGACAGGACAGGTCTACGGCGGGATCCCAGTCTTCCTGCCTGGACTGGTCACTTTCTCAATTCCTCCAACTCAGCATTATCATCACTCTTCACATGTGTTAGGTCAAAATTGCTAGAATCCTCTTTGCCTCCAGCCTATCATTCTTTATGGCCTTTACTTTCTACTTGTCATGACGCCCTCTGGCTTTCCAGGAACACTGTGGGACTGTCACTTTGCTGCTCTGTGGCTGACACTGTACCCTGTGGCTTTATCCCACCCACCTTCCTGGACACGAATGCATGGGGACCAGGGCTGGCACCCTCAGCACTGGGCGATGCTGGAGCTGCTCCTTCTGTGCATCCAGCTCCTCCCTAAACTCAGCTGACCTCCACATTCACATGGGCACCCATCTGGACAAGCCCTGGCCTTCAGCTCTTGGAGCTCCTCACCTTGGCGGCTTTCTCCCCACTTCCTCAGCCACACGTTCCCAACTACCCAAGACCCATGGCCAGTCGCAGGCTTGTTGACCTCCAGGACCCAACAAGGCAGCATGGAGCTGTGGGCATGGAAGCACATCCGGGAGCTCCTCTCTAATGGGCAGCTGCTGCTCAGCTGCAAGGTACTGTAGCTACCCAGGACTTGAGGAAGGCCAGCTCGGCATTTTATCAGGTCATTCACCTCTTAAACCAGAAATCCAATGTGTACAAAGAATCGTGTGATTTGGGCAAATAAATTTAAAAAAATTATTTGGGCCAAACTAAAATGTGTCTGGGTAGAATGTGGCCTGTCAGTTACTGGATTATGTCTTTCATCACCTAAAACTATTGTGACTCCAAAATGGCAATTCAAATATACCAAGCTCCCACCAAACTCCGTCCTGCCAGGCTGCCAGTGACTCTGACCATTGGGACTGTCCTGTCTTCACTGCACTTCAATCCCCCTTGCCTTCTCTCTAGGCTAGATTCCATTTTATTCCCTCTTGTTAATATCCTAAGCTATGGTCACCAACCTAAACTGAGTCTTAACCATGTCCAGCAAGACTATCTTCCCTTTTCTAGGAATCAACTACTTGAAAATCTAACCTCCTCAAACCCAATGACCTTCTCTCTCTTCTCACCTTAACTGTCTAACCCCCCGCCATCTTAACTGTCTGCTGTCTACCATGTAAAGGGCATGTTTGCCTCTCTCTTACTCTGGATGCCAGCAAACCGCTGCAATCATCCCAAGAACTGTGTACTACTAACACCCGTTGTTTAGGTGGAAGGGAGATGAGACAAAGATTTTACCACAGCAACTCTAAACGCTTTTGACACCACTGCTATTATCATGCCCAGTAAAATGCTGATTTTCAACATCACCTTCTACCCAGGCCATACTGAATGTCCCCACTTGAGAAATACCAAGCCTTTCCACTGAAAGTGGATGTGGAGCATACTGGATCCCGCTCCAGGCTGTCCCTATGTGCTACAGAGCCATTTTTCTGGGACATTTGAGCTGTTATTCAGAAAACAAAAATATGAAGTGAAAGTGTCCAGAACAAGGTGAAACGGCAGACCGGGCGTCATCATCAGATGGAATAGCCCATCTGGCTCTCAATGGTGGGGCTCCTCAGAGCCTGGCCCCAGACCCTCCTCTTGCTCTGCCCCACCTACTACACATCCTCACATCTGCCTCCACAGCATCAGTCAGTTTCCTCTGGTTCCACCACTTAGCAGACAGCTCCCCTGCATGTATCAGATACCTCCAACCCAACACATCTGAAAAGAAACTTACATTCTTAAAACCTGCCACTTTCCCAGTGTCCTTTATCTCTGAAATGGCATCATCTTCTTTCACATTCTCAAGCCAGAAAGCTGGACTCTCCCCTTCATTTTTTTCTCTCTCAAACATCACCTCTATATCCCCTTAAGGGGCCTCTCTGCTTCACTCTTATCCCTCTACGATGCATTGTTTACACAATACCTATCAGAGTGTATCTCACCCCAACTCAAAGTCCATTTAGTGTCCACTCCTCACAATGGCCCTATATGGCAAGGCCCCTTTGAAATTCTTCCTAGAACACATTCACCTACAAAGTTCAAATTTCATTAACTTTCTTTTCTTAGAACTCAGCAAATTCATGCCCATGTTTGAGTCTTCCTTTTGCCTGGGAACCGTGCCCTCAGTTCTTCCCATGGCTTCTCCTTGTCATTCACCTCCTGCCCAAGGTCCTTCTGACCATCTCATCTAAAACCACCTCCTTCCCTTCACCTGCTGTTACGGGACTCTGATTATTTTCTCCAAAACACCTTTCACCATCAACAGTCCTTTTGTTCATATTTCTTCAATTACTGTATGTCTTCTCTACCTAAATTGGTCCTTACTCACCATTTTATCTCCAGTGCCCAGAAAAATGCAAACAGTGGCCAATGTACCACCTCAACTACCTTCTTTCTGTCTTAAATAGAAAAATATCTATTTAAAACTTTTAAGGCCATGTGCAGTGGCTCACACCTGTAATCCCAGCACTCTGGAAGGCTGAAGCATAAAAAAAAAAAACTTTTAAGATCCACTCTGTATCAATAAGCTCCATACTATAAACTGCAACCTGACATCAAGGCTTCTTCAACAAATCATGAATTTGTGCTATCTGTGTATTACTACCGTGAAGTTCATAATAAACCACTCAGGTACAGCTGGAAACTTCACTAATCTCTTTGCTGCCATTGCTGATTTTAAACTAAGTAAAAGTGAAAACCCTTCAAGGGACAGAACTCCATCACAGACATCCTGGTTCTACTCAGCTGTGTTCAATCTTCCACTTAAATGCGAGCGATTGCCCTCTTTCAGTAGCCCTTATGACTCTGAAATATATATATACACACATATACATACACGACAGTAAAATAGGTTCTCACACAAATACTGCTTTTAAGTTATTTGGTCTGAAAAAACACAACCAACAAACTACACTGAAACAGACTGTGAAACCCAATTCTAAAATCCAATATTGCAATTTTTCTTCTGAAAGAGTGACTTACATGTGCTACATTTGATGGCCGGTTCATCTGCTGAATGTCAGCATTATTAGTAATATTCCTCAACGTCCGTACAGCTGGGCTCCAGGTAGCTATCATTTCTGATCTTTCAGAACTTTGCAGATTTTGTCCAGAAGCCATTAAATTGGCCCGGACCTCAGGGGGCAAAATGTTACCTGGAACGGGTGGGACATTGGCACACAAGTTAATCAACCCAGGCTCCTTTCCCTGAGGCAGCCTGCGTTTTGCTGAAGCTAATTGTGGGACTTCAGCTGGGGTCCAGTTTAAGTTTCTCTCTTGCTTTTCCGGGGATGAATCTGAAGAGTCATCAAACATCAGTTCCCCTTTAGATTTGTCGGTGTTGGACTTGGGTGAAAACTGCTGGTCCCCTGAAGGAGACCCTTCTTGAGAGCTGGCAGGGCTTGACTTCTCATCTGTACTACCCTCGTTCTGAGAATCTTGTTCCTCATTTTCTACTTCCTCCTCCTCTTCCTCTTCCTCTTCCTCCTCTTCATATATAATCAGACGAGGATGATAAGATGCTTCGTCCTTTTTGGTTTTCTCTGATACGCAATCCAGAACCCAGTCAGGAGTCACGATTTTAATACTTGCTCGCTTTGAAGCACATTCGTATTTCTCCTGTGAGGAAAGCAGAAACACACACAAAACAAAGCTGTACATTTCATCACATTTCCTAGAATTATGCGTTTTAGAAAAAAACTCGGGAGAGAAATGCAGTGGAAATGTTGAGCAACTACTACTGCCATTTTAAACATAAGGAAAGTTTGATCTTTTAGACGGTGGACATGAAGCAAAAGTTCAAGCGAACCATACATACAGCAGTGATCGTAGTAAGGTCTCACGCCTGTAGTAGGAGTCTTAAAAGACTTGGGTTAAAATTAACTTTCTAAAATGATATTTTAAGTACAAAAGAAGACCTTGTAATCCTGCGGAAAATTATGAAATGAATAACTGCTATCTAAGTTTTTATGGATGGATAGTATTTAGAAATCTAATTTTCCATGACGGTTAAGTAAAGTAAACGCGTGGCAGAGTGCCGCCAATGTACCACGTGCACTGGTGGAGCGTGGCTGACTTGCACACAACAGCTCTATTCATGATCCGGTATTTATGGGGCTCATGCTATAGGCCAAGTAGCACTAAGGGATGGAGACACAAAGAATGCCATAAGTCTCTGACCTACCAAGCCTCACAATTTGGTTCTAAAGAGAAATTAAATACGAAATGCAAACACAGTGTAAAACCAGTGCTGAATCATGTGGTGACGGACTGGCAGGGGATCTCGACAACGTAAGCTGGAGGACACCCCGAAAGCCCCGTTGAAAGGTGAGCTTTGGCGGGGCAGGAATGATGACAATTTGCGCGAGAAAGCAGAAAATACAGCCCAGAGGAAAATATACATGCCTGGAGTAGGATGTATGCATGGCAAGCTTTACCCCTCTGGTAAAGGACACAGAATATGCAGGGCCCAGGAGAAGGAATAACAAAGAAAGAGAAAAATATGTAAAAACTGCTAACTAAGAGTAATACAACAATAAAGCAACTTTAACATAATGAATTTGTAAATGTGGCTTTGTTTCAAAAGCCTACACATAACAGCAATTCTCCAGCAAACACAGAATCAGGGCCCTAAACTCCACATCCTGCTGCAGAGCCCCAAGGCAGCACTTGCAATTTATGGGTGGAATAAGAGTCATATGGGATAGGGAAGCATTGTTCACCCAGGAGACGCAGATCCTTGCAAAGAGTGAGCTGTGCACACTGCTCAGTGACTTAACCTGTTTTTGTGAGGCTGTTCTTTCTGAAACCTTTTTAAAATACAAGAAAAACCTAGTCAAGGGAGATACCCATGAATAAGAAGCTAAGCAAAGGAAAATGGATGTAATCATAATCACACTGACTAGAGAGGACCACGATGAACATTTTTAGGGTATAGCTTAAACTATGTTTGTCATAAATATATACGCACATATATTAAAAGGGCAAAGGGAAAAAACATAGTCACAGTGAACAAATACTTTACGATGTTCCTTTTTCACTTACTATATTGGGACCAGCCTCCTCCTATGACAATATGTACACTTTCATATTCGTCTTTAACTTTTTAATGTACGTTTTCAAACACAGACCAAATTAGAGACTAGTGTAATAATAAAAATAATAATACTACTAGTGTAGTTCCCTTGTACTTGTTACCCAGTTTCGGTAACTGGCAACCTTTTACAAACCTTGCTTCTCCTTGACTTCGCTCATGAATCTCAAATTGATAAAGACTTTCTAAACCACCATAATCATCATAGCAGCAAAATGAACTATGATTCGCCTCACCATCAGGCCCTCTTCATATCTCCCCAGAAGTCTCAAAGGCTCCCCCAGTGTTAGCCTCATAGTTATTTCCAGTGTTTCACTACTAGGAAAAACTGGAGTTACATTTCATGACAAATTCCTAGGTTTTGATGTTGAGGTTTGAAAAGTAATACAGATTTAAGGCTTCATAGATATAATTACACCCCCCTCCCAAAACAGGCTATACTAATTACACTTCCAACAGCTATGTAAGATGTAAATCAATTTACCTATACCTTTCATAATAATATGTTTAATTTCCTTATCCTAAAACATGTTGTTCTTAAACATTTAAAAGCATAAAATTTTATAAATATTTCCCCAGATGATAAATTTCTACTAGAGATTTTCAATTTCTGAACTACCCATCCCAGAAGGTCCTCAGAGTTATTTTAGGAAAATATAAAGTCCAGGTACACAGCAAAATACTTATGAACTAATTATTGAATATAAAAATATCTGCTTATTATATGTAATATGGTTTACATATTACTTTTCCCAGGTAAAAAGATATTTGCTGAAATAATAAAATATGAAGAAACTTATTTTTATTCTGTTTTAACAAATACCAACACACACACACACACACACACACACGAAAACTATTACCATGAAGAGGAGTCACTGAAAATTTTAGATATATAAAAGGCTGGGATACAGTAGGCTCTTGAGCTCCTAGTTTGGACAGAATGCTGGCATTTCACTTTTCAGAAGTAACTTGACTATCTCCTATGGAAATCTAAGTAAAACATTTAGGTAGCCTTACTATATTTCACTCAAGTTTTCTCTCACTTTTCACAAGACAGGCAGTTTTTATAACTGAAAGACAGTAACTGTTTCAACAAAGATGATTTCAGAGCAAAGCAATATTTAGATGCCTTTGCCTGAGCCAATTTATCAGCTACATTATTCTAAGCTTTGTATCCTCAAAACCTCTAACTCACTAAGCGCCAAGGACCTTGAGAGTCAACCATGTCCCCTCTCCCCAGCAACTAATAACCATACCCTGTTTCTGTTGGCTTTAAGTTATAAATTCTTTCATTCTTCTCGGTTTGAAACTTTTAAACTTCAGTAGTGTGAAAGGTAGTTTTATTATGCCATGTGCACAAGCTTTGGCTATGTGCTCATTAAAAAAACAAAAACAAACATTTCCTTTAAAAAGAAGTGTTATTTTTGTGTATAGTCAGCTGGTCTCTAACACTCATATAATTTATAAATTAGAAGAAACTATTTAAATTCACCACTATTAGGTTTACAAATTTATGTCTGAATAGATTACAAAATACAATAATTTAAGGGAATGATGAAAATTCAGTCTTTTTAAAGGGATTTAATTTTTCAAATATTGTTTTTATTTACTTACATAAGCCACAGATGTAATCAAGGAACCAAGAATATAATAGCTAACTATAATTTACATCAGCTTAAAACCACTTTGGCTTTATAAATAGACTATGCCAGAATATACAGTTTCTTCAGTTCATTTTATAGACTAGTGCTTCTCAGGCTTCGAGGGTGAGGAAGAACCAAGGTAGAGGCGAGGTGAAGCGGGGAACACCAGGCAGAGAAGGGTGCATGGCCAACCATGAACCAACAGGAATGAAACACTGTTTCTTAAAGACAACAGGCAGACATGAGGACAAAGTCCCATCTGTCTCTTTTTGGTCCTGTGATCTTACCTGAAAGCAACTCAGTGACACTAAAGAATTGTTACTACTCCCTCAAGTTTTGGAAATGTATGACAGCCTTACTTTATCTGTTACAAAAGCTAGTGGGGAGGAAATGGTTGAGGGAATGCTAAGTCCTACAGTGATCAAGACAATGCTGCAGAGTTGAGAAATTCTCCTGCGAACATTCTGGTTATGTACCACCACTCATATTAAAAAATAGCTGGAGGTATATACATTAATCTTCCAGAAAAACAGCTACCGAAAATAAATAAATAAAAGGAATTATTTCTTATTCAAAAATTTACTACAAGTTGCTCAGTTTTTTTAAATTGAATTTTATTAGAATATTACTAAGGGCAATGATCACTTATTACAACAGATATACAACATTAGTCTTTTTCTGCAGCTGCCATATTCATGATTGTAATATTTTTTTTATATGCTCATACATGTAAGTTATACATATAAATTTTATTTTTATTTTTTTGAAACAGGATCTCACTCTGCTGCCCGGGCTGGAGTGCAGTGGCACAATCATGGCTCACTGCAGCCTCAGCCTCCCAGGCTCAAGCAATCCTTCCATCTCAGCCTCCTAAGTAGCTAGGACCACAGGCATGAGCTACCATGTCCAGTTAATTTTTCATTTTTTGTAAAGCTGGGTTCTCACTTTGTCTCCCAGGCTAGTCTCAAACTTCTGGGATCAAGAGATCCTTCCACCTTGGCCTCCCAAAGTGCTGGGATTTACAGGTATGAGCCACCACTTCTGGTCCATGTAATGTCTTACTATTTCATTGTCTTCTCAGGTAGCTATGCTTGAGCATTAAAAAAATCCTGTATGCTTCTCATTATTAATTGCTTTCTTTCTCTTTTTTACATGTGGGCATTATGGCTTCTTAAAAATTATCTAAGGCTGGGCGTGGTGCTCACGCCTGTAATCCCAGCACTTTGGGAGGCCGAGGTGGGCAGATCACTTGAGGTCAGGAGTTCAGAACCAGCCTGGCCAACATTTGCTCTCTACTAAAAATACAAAAATTAGCTGGGCATGGTGGCAGGTGCCTGTAATCCCAGCTACTTGGGAGGCTGAGGCAGGACAATTGCATGAACCGGGAAGGTAGAGGTTGCAGTGAGCTGAGATCATACCAGTGCACTCCAGCCTGGGCGACAGAGTATGACTCTGTCTCAAGAAATAAAAAAATTATCTAGGAACAGTAATGTGTGTAAGAAAGGGGTTAGTGAAAGGAGTGGTGCGTATCTGTGTTTCAGTTTCCTTAAGGGGACAGCAGGACTTCCTTCACGGTATGCCACGAGCAGCACTGGACTAGCACTTAGTAAGTGCTCACTAATGGGTGCCTATTAGTGTTGTTATTTTTATTACCGACAAATACAAAATCTGCTTTTAACAAATATTTACCAGTGCAGAAGAAACAAAGTAAGCATTACAATAGTAGTTCATTTTCCCCTACGTTGAATTAGTTCATTTAAAACTGGGAAATTAAAATTGGAAAAGCAAAAAGACTTATCTTTCTTTTCAAGTCCATAAATAAAATCAAGAATGAAAAACAAATACATTACTTAAGACAATATTATAATTCCACTATTGACTTAGATAATCTCTTTATACATGTGTAATACATGTATACATAATATCTTGTTTAATATCAACTTTTAAAATACATGGAGTATTTGCTTCATCTAAAAATAATTATAGTAGCATATTTGCTGTCTTACTCACAAGCATGTTTTAGCCAAATAATATGATTTCTTTTAAGTGCCTCTTTGTTGGGATAAATAAGGCTTAATTAAAGCATTTATATATAGATGTTGCAATTTAGATACAGTTTTCCTTCCAAATAAAAATTTAGAAAGATTCCACTATAAACTTAAAAAATTAGTCTAAAGTCAAGACATACTTTAAAATATATACTATATCCTAAAGCCCAAAGAGTTACTAAGGACTTATCACCAAAATGTTTTGGAAGGGGAAAAAAACCGAAATTAAGGCAGTAGAATTAAAAAGTCAAAAACAATTCAAAACAGCTTTGACAAACACATTCTGTTCACATACTGCCTCTTAAATTATAATTCTGGCTCAGTTAAAAAGTTAAAGACTTCATTTCCCCTTCAAATTAACTATATGAAAACCAAATTTTTGCTATAAATCAACATTAATGTAAAAAGAACCCATTATTTGAACCAAAGCATACTGTTTATCACTTAAATTGTTATGCAAAATAGGTTTTTTACTTAAATTTTAAGAGTCATATCACATATTTTCATAGAAAGAGTTTCTGCTTGAATAGTATGCGTACTAAGTTACCACTGAACTCACCAGCTCAAAATCTCCACTGCTGTTGGGAAAGCAGCATAACGAACAGCACACCTTTATCAATCACCTCCGATTAGTTTCAAAGACTGTAAAAAATGGAATGCTCTTGGCAGGGTAAGGCTTGTACCAGCCCTTTACTCTATGTCTTACTCCAGTGCCTTTGCCAGATACTGCACACTTTTTTCTTCTAGATTTGTGATTGGATACTTTCAGATTAGATAATAAGATGAAAATATTAACTCAGACTGAAAGCAATTTAAAAAATTAAGTCAATGACTGATACATGGAAAAAATTAAGTCGTCAAAAGACTTTTCTACTATAAATATGCTAAACTTGATTCTCAAATGTATAAACAACTGTTCATGAAAGAGAAAATGTTCTATTACTTTTTTATACAAACCTATAGCACAGTGGTTCTGAACCTTGAGTATGCATCAGAATCACCCACCAGAAGACCTGATGACACAGACTGTCGGGCTCAAGTGGCGAGGTCTGGGAAGGGGCTGGGCAGGCTGCATTTCTTTTTGTTTTCTGAGACAGAGTCTCGCTCAGTTGCCTCGGCTGGAGTGCAGTGGTGTGATCTCAGCTCACTGCAATCTCCGCTCCCTGGTTCAAGTGATTCTCCTGCCTCAGTTTCCCGAGTAGCTGGGTTAACAGGCACCCACCACCATGTCTGGCTAATTTTTGTACTTTTAGTAGAGACTGGGTTTCGCCATGTTGGCCTGGCTGGTCTCGAACTCCTGACCTCAACTGATCCACCTGCCTCGGCCTCCCAAAGTGCTGGGATTCCAGGTGTGAGCCACGGTGCCCGGCCAACAGGATGTATTTCTAACAAGTTCCCAAGGAGGCAGATGCTGCTGATCCAGGAACCCCACTTGGGGAAACACAATCCATATGACCACACCATTGATCAGGGATGAGGGCTCTATGCTTATCAAGACAAAAGTCATTTTCATATATTCCAGATGATGAAGAAGGAAACAGATCAAAACCTTCACCAAACGCATGGTACGAGGTTTTTAAAAAAAAAAAGGTGAAGGGAACTAAAAATACACTTTTTTAACAAATAAAAATGAACCAAAGTTTTACTGGATTGGAAAGGAAATTCTACAGATTAATAAAATTTTCCCATTTTCCCCATCAAATAAAGCCAGATTTCATAGTATTTAGAAACGCTATACTTGGCTTATAATTTACAATCATCTCACTTCTTTTGTATCATGAAGCCGGATATAAATAATATAAACCAGTATAATGTTTTTGTAAATGAAATATAGTAATTTAAAAGAAGCTCAAGAACTTACCCCCTTCGGCTCTGGAACAATCAAATGCGTGCACTTCTTATTGAGGGTTAGCTGGCAGCTCCCCCCATAGAACGTGACCAAAGCCCACAGGGCACTTCTGTCTTCAGATGACACCTGATACAAGGGTAGAAAGAAGGCTTTTACCATAAATCTCAACCTGTGCATGACTATATTTTCATTTTAGCAATATCCTGCAACAATTCTGTTTCTCCCTTAATAAAATTAACCTAAGAATATTTGTGGAAAAAACAGAGACGCTCTTAGCTATCTGCTTATTATAATAAAAACTTCTATCACAATAGTTTTACAGATATAAATTACTTATTTTGCCTTGTCACCAAATGAATTTAAAAATATTTATATCCACATTCCAAAAAGCGGAATGGAGGATTATTTCAGTCTATAACAAAAATAGACGGGAAACAAGCAGGAAGAAGTAGTATGCCATTCCAGCTTTCATTGTGTCACTTCTGAAAATGTTTAAATACAACAGCAATACCAAAATCGTATTCAGAAATGTCTTTATGCTAATGGGTAACAAATACCAATTATGAAATGGATAAAATAAAAACAAAGATAAAAATACAGTGGCTTATAAGTTCAGGGGAAAATGTAAACATTACTTAACACAGGAAAGAAAGAGGGCAAGCATAAAAGGAAAAGTTCTTATGCTTGAGCAGTGATGAAGTAAGACCCCAGATACAATGGCTTATGTGGTCAAACAGGCTTTCACTGTGACAATAGAAACAGCTACCATTTATTGCCTGCCTACTATGTGCCAGGAACTGTGCCAAGTGCTTTATCTATGCATCTAACCCTTATAACCACCATGTGAAACAGGAATCATTAGCCCCATTTAAAGATAAGGAAACACTAAATCACACCTAGTAATTGGAAAAGCTGGCTTTTAAAACCCAGGTCTGTCTATACCCAGGTCTAACTCCAAACTGGATCTTTGCATTGTTCTCTAGTGCTTCTCTAAGGGCAGTTACTGATGGGAAAGTCAAAAATAACTTCTTAAAAAATGAAATTTTAGAGTCTGAAAAGCAAAAGAACATTTAAGAAAAATAAAGATATGAGCATTATTTTCTAAGATAATCATTTAACCAAGTAAATGTTTTCTGGATAAATTTATTGTAAGTTGAGGATTATAGTTGTTGAAGAATCCTGAACTTTGTCTCAAGTTAATCTGTCAACAGTATTGCCAATAGCATGTTAATCTCTTTTTAACTGCTGGTACGCAGCTTGACAATAATTGAGCATTCTTCATCTACTCTCATCCATTCTACAAACATTTCTAGAAATTATTTTGTATTACACACTACTCTATGAATATTAACAAGAACATGTTAGCTTTCTAAAATCACCTTGCAAATCATTATTTTATATCTTGTTAATTTAGTAAGTCAATGTCACATTTCAGAAGACCAGACCAGGTTATTTTTATTAGAGGCTTTCACAAAAACACTTATATCCTGCAGCTTTTGGAGAGCTGAGATTTAATTATATGATAATACAGATTAATCCAATGAGTCATTATATAATCTTTATTAAAAGTGAAATTAAAAACATAACCTAGAGACGCCTTGATTACCAAGATTTGTCTATGTGTTCAGCTAAATATTCTTTTTATTTCACTGACTGAAGGAGATCTAGTCCTATACCCTATGTGGCCTGTATCACAGGCATAGACCTCAACAGGGTGCAGTAGATTGCTGTGGAAAGAACATCACATAGAGAGGAACGGAGGAGACTGGAATTAATACAATGCCTCCAGCAACTAGCTCATGTCAACTTGGAAAACGTCCATAACCCAGTTCTTCACTGATGTACGTTTGGATTAAATGACTCTGAACATCCATACTAGCTCATTTAATGAATCTCCATCAGCACCATTAATAATTAAGAATGCTCTTTCCACACCAAAATATTAACAATAGTTACTTAGTGGTGACAGGATTATGGGGACATTTTTATTTTCATTTTTATACTTTTCTGTATTTTCCAAATTTTCAAAAGCATTAATTTTATAATTGGGGAAAGTGCTTTTCTTTTTTAAAATCCATCTTTCCAAAATACCAATCTTATCATGTTGGCCAATAAACCTTTGATGTCTCCTCTGTGCTATAAGGCTAAACCCCAAAGACTCCCCTGTGGTGTCCGGGCCCTTCCTGTCTGGCTGGCTCCTAACCACCTCCTCCTGCCCATTGGCACTGCCCCCACATGCACCTGCAGTCCTCACCATGTTCTGCTTTCCCTGTGCCCCGGCTGTGCCCGTCCTCAGTCCTTCTCCTCTAAGACTCGGCTCAGGTAGCATTACCACTGTACTCCCACAGCAAGCTGGACAGAAAGATAAATACTTCTTACACTCTACAACTATCTGCTTGCTTGTCTGTCCTCCCAACTATACTCCAAAGCAACCAGGAGCAGAGGACTAGAATTTCAAGTCTATGCCCCCGGGAATAAAAGCTTTCCTTTAAACCAATCAGGAACACTCCCTTCTCCTTCAGGCCTCACCATCCCCAATAAAACACTCCTTGATTCTAGCTTCCAGGATTTTCTCCTTGTCCAGTCTTAATTATGAACTCTAACACTTCTTATTAAAGAGTCTTACATGATGTCCTAAACTTCTCTGAGATTTGTCATAGTACCTAGCACAGTGCAAGGCACATGGGTAGGCAGTCAAGAAATACTGTTGATTGAGATACAGAATGGAAAGGACTTTTTAGTCTTCTAGATTTAAATCATGACCTGGCCAGGCTCTCCATTACATTCTTGACCTATTCCCCAAAACCTACCCAGCACATTACAACAGAGGCCTCAGCCTGCATCAATACCGGGTCAGAAGAAGGCAGATGATCTCTGTGCTTCCCAACTTCTGCTGGACAAGCTCCCTTCCCTACCTCTCCCTGGGAGAGCTCTGGAAGACTCCAACAAAGAGCTCCAGCTTGTATCAACACCCTGACGGGGAAAAGACAGAAGGTCACTGAGAACCACCAAGCAAACAGTCCTTTTGTAAAGCTGGGGTCCTGCCTGGCGTGTGCACGTGAACCTGTGTGCGCATGGCTGTCCCAGTGTGCAGAAAAGGTGCAGACCCCTCTGACAGTCTCCAATCGGTTCAGAATAAGCACCGTGAGCACTCCCTGTTTCTGTACCTGGTGCCCACTTTCTTTTTTGCGTATGTTGCAGCATAATGTATTTGCCCAAGGTCTGTCCCCTCCTAGACTGTATGTTTCCTGAGAGAGAAATTACATCTGAATTAATATGTACCCCTTTGCACTGCTCCTGTCACAAAGGAAGTGCCCATCAAGGATTCGTTGGACCAAAGTCCCTTAGCTGCACACTGTACATGTTTGTTAACATATCTTAAAACCAAAATAACATTTTTTTTTAGCAACCACAAAATATTCGTGCTCCCAATGCACTTTTCTTAAACTATTTCCAGGGTTTCTTCATAGAAGTGACTATTAAAGTCTTCCCCACCCCTATTTGCACAATCTTTCTCAACTTAAAGAAATGCATTTATTTTACCCCATGACACACTAGGGATGTCAGCTCATCATGCTAACTGACGAACTGCGGTAAGTATAGTAAGCCCATAAAGACCATACTAATTCTGGATGGTGGATTTTCTTATCCACTGAATTGCTAAAAGGATATAAAACACTACCAAAGATCTTGCTAACAAATTACCTTTTGTCCACCATTGACCCACCCATTCCCCTTGATAAGTTTAGCACCAAGGTAAAATTGGACCTTTCATCTGACAGTGGGTGAGCAGTGCCTCTGCCCAGTTTGTCACCAGCAGGGCCCCTTCCCAGACCACACAATCAAATGACACTATTCCACTGCTAAGAATCGAGCTATTCGTGTTCTCTGACCAGTCTGCTCACCCAGTTGTTTCCTTATGGATATCCACCTTCCTATTCCCACAGTGCCTGCACCGGTGACTTCATCATCTACTTAGACCCTCAGCCTGCGACTGAGCCAGCTTATATTCTGTATCACTTTCTATCATCCTTTTTCTCCTCTTACTGGGTCACAGAATAGGACTGAGGATACACACAAACCTATGGACAACTACCTCCTACCAATTTATGTTCTAAATCTTTCCCCAGGTGGTTGTTATTTTCCAGCAATAAAAATAAAGCTGATTAAGTCTGATTTTATCTTGGCTTCTAAAAATAGTATCCTGCTCCTTCAGTATCATCTCTGTTTTTAAGCTCCTTCTTTGATTCCTCCCCAAATCTCTCTAACAATGCATGCTATCCGAGGCTCGATTCCCAGTTATCTGCTCCTCTCTCTATTATGCTCTGCAGGAAGTTCCTTCATGCCACAGGATCTCCAAGTTCCTACACTCCCATACCTGACCAGCAGCCCAAAGTGTGTTTCACACCAACGTCATCATCTCTCCTCGCCAGTCAGCTCCTCTCTATTTCCCAGCTCCATCAGTGACACCGCCACTTTACTGGTGCCCCCCGCCTGGAACAATGACATAATCTTTGGCTCCTGATCCCCATGTGCAGGCATCCGCCATGGGATCTGGCACAGGGTACACGGTAAGCATCGGCTTCTCATTCTTTTCACCACAGCATCCCACGCCCCCGGTACCCGCTGAGTCCCATCTGTTGCTGACTCCCATGTTGTACTTGCTACCGCAAATCCAATCTCCATTTGTTCAAACTCCAGCCCCTGTCCTGCCCTGCAAGTCATACCCAGAGCTCCTAAACCAGTTTACCTGCAATGATCACAAGTGATTCTAATTTTGTTTGCTTTTGTTTCCCAAGTTTTCTGAGGTAAATATTTGTAATCCAAAATTAAATGAGAAAAAAAGAGTGATGAAACATCCTGCTACCCACTTCAAACTCATATACCTTGGTTTCCATCATCTCTACCCATCTACCTGCCTGACCACTTCTTCTACCTGCCAATGCACACCCTTGGCTGACAGCGCTATCTTCTCACCCAGCCTCTTGTGCACTGCTGACTTCTTCTTCCACCTTGTTCTATGCAGAATGCCTTCCTCCCTTCCCCATTTCCTCGAATCCTGCGGATTCTTTTGATCCGCTCAGACCTGCCATCCTCTCTATCAAGGCTCCTCGCCTCACAATCCAGACCAATGCCCTCTTTCCTAAGCTCACAGAGCCATACCTGTGCCCCTTGAGTTGTCATACAGGTACCATGTATATATGTCTATACTATAACCTAATTTATTATGTCTATTATATTACAATCTATTACAAATATAAACTCTGTTAAACATAACTATCAGTTCTTTGGAAGAGTAATAATATCCTCTGGTGCTAAACTCATAGTTAATATTGAGCAATGTCTAATTACCTCTGAAACTCTATAGTCATCTTATATTCACATACTTTTGATTTTCTTATTCATTTCACCAAATCCCATGTCATTGTGACCTTCATCTCTGAAAAATGCCCACAGCACTCCCTGTCCCTGTCCCTGTCCCTAACTCAGCATGGCCCTTCTTCCTCTCTCCCTTTCTTACTCAACTGGAATCTTTTCTGGATAGTTGGCTCTGAGTCTCTGAAGCCCAGAAATCCAACCAATGCAAATAAAATTAAATTAAAAAATGCAATTTTAGCCAAAGTATACTGTGTTTATACATAAGTAGTAATGCTTTCATTTTTAAAACTTTCCTGATACGCTGATTGTAAATTTGGAACATACAGAGAAGTAGAGGAAAACAATAAAAATTACATGTAACCACAGCACCCAGCATTTAAAAGGTTTTCTCATTATAGCCAACTTTAAAGATCATTCATGTAAACAGACATTTATAACAGATATGAAAAAACATTGCAAAATGCAAATACCAACGAAATTCCTGATAAAGAGATTTGTTTTTAAAAAGCCAATTTGGCTATTTGAAGGATCTCCATCAAACTGATGTCACAAAAACAAAACCAGGATTTTAGAGAACTTCCAGAATACAGGAGACACAAACAAAAGCACAGTAACTGCAGATAAATGTACTTATTGCTTGGAGAGAGGAGAGTGATCAGGTTTAGACTGGCGGCACCCTTTGAGCCTGGCCAACAGCCTGACAATGCTGAATCAAACACCACCCAGCTCCGTAACCACCTACCACAGAAGCGTAAGGAAAAGCAAGATTACGACCAAACTTCTCTCCATCTCACCTAATAACTTGCTGGGATGTGCCCGTGTCTGAAAGGTGTGTATGGAGAAAGATGGCGGAATACTTTCTCAGAAGTACCACCTATGAGCACCAAAATGACAGCCTTGGATGAGGACTGCCAGGTCAAGTGAGATGGGATATTCTACGGTGAACTTTTACCTTCCTAAGGACCACTGATTTTAAACAAATTACTCCACGTAATTTTAAAAAGACTTTAAACAATAACAACTTGATTATTTTCTAATAGTTTTGTATTATGATTTGAGGGTTTTCTTAGCTGGGGGTTAGAAAAACAAAATACAATAAAGAAATATTAAATATTCAGATACCCAGAACTAGCCACTGTTAACATTTTGGTTCCTCATTTCAGCTATTTCTTACATACTTTATTTGGTTGGTGTAATATTGTACATACCTATGATATGGCCTGCTTTTGCCACTTAAAACATTTCCCATGTCTTTACATGTTTTCATAAAACAGAGTTCAAAAAGAGCTAAGAAGTTACACTACTGTATATGTATATATAATAGGCTTCTCAAACATCCTCAAACAGTGGATGATCTGACCGTTTCCGGTTTTCCTATCTTATAAACAATGCTTATAAGTGAGTGTGAGCACCTTTATGTGTCAGTCTGTCTTTACTTCTATCAACTCGGGACAAGTTTCTAAACGCAACACAAATGCAGGTGAAAATGAAATAAGTATTTTCAGGCTCCTGACACTGTTCCCCTTTCCTAGGAAGCTGCTGCACTGACTCCCCTTCCTGCAGGCAGGAAGCCTGAGTGTCTGTCCTCAGCATCTCCACCAGCCGCTATTACAAATTAGATGAGCAAAAATTCTTATCTCATTGCTATTAAAATATTCACATCTTTGATTATAAAGTATATCAAATATTTTGTTATTGTATTAGTAATTCCTCTTTATAGCTTCTAATTCATTTCTCTGCCTTATCTGTTAAGGTCTTTTTTATTCTTATTGATATGTATGATCCCTTTATTTATTAAGAAAATTCTTTGCCTGTATTTCTAACTGAATTTTCCTTGTTATCTTCTAATTTCATTTTTAATATTTTTTTCATATTGAAGTTTTAAATTTTTTAAATAGGAAAGACCATTTTCACCCATTAGAAACTTTAAATCTTAAAAGCAAGCATGAATATTTAAATAATTTTAAGTGTCATGAGTTCATATTAAATACAAAGTCAGTTTAGGAAACAGCTTCTCTAAAACAGGTTAACAAACAGCTCATAAATCCAATCATACAAAAACTCAGAAGTGTCACATATAAATAACTCAAGACTAGCTGTAACCATGCTTACCTGAGAAAGGCAGGCAGTAATTCCAAAAAAAATTTGACATGATTCTGGAGAAAAACCATTTACTCTGTTTGACAGTTATTAAGATTACAATGAAACAAGATCAGTGCAACCTGTACTTCACCAACAGATATTACCCCACCCTCTCCATCCCCACTCAGGAAAGAGACAGACTTAAGACAGCCAAAGAAGAGTACAGGGCAGAATGGAATCCAAGAGACGTGGCAGAGTGCTCTTCTGTAAAGTACATTTTGAAATCTAATCTGTCCACTTATATCATAAATCAAATGGATAAAATATACTTAACAGGGGAAGACTTTTGAGCTCTCATAGCTAGCTAACTACATACACATGTATAAACACACATGCATATACACATACATACACACATATGGCATAGCAGTTATTTTAAAAGCAAAATTAAAATGTCTTAAGTTTCCTTTAGAATAAAGCGTCGTGACTGCTTCTGTTGCAGAGTAGGAAGAACCCTTCATAAAAGAGCTGGATTGGGCTCTAGTTTTATTATCTCTGCTAACTTTGTGAACTTAGGCAAGACAACTGTGAGCTTCAATTTCCCCTTTTTTAGAACAAAAGTTGGAAAGTATAATTCCAAAGATCCTTGCTATTTCTAAAGCTGATCTTAAAAATTCATTCAAAATCACTAACGAGCACTTACTATACATCACGCATTGGGAATTTAACAAGACACAAGTTATGATCTCCATGTGCCTGTAAATTCAGTCTATTCAGAGCAAACAATGACTGTTTTTGAATATTTGGAGTGTGTAGAATTCAAAATGGGTCAAAGTATTACTTCTCTTTCCCTATAGTAGAAAAATATACATATTGAGATTGGTGAATCAAGAAAAATATCAGCTTAAAAATTCTATTCCAAGTCTCCTATAGAGGTATACAGATGACTCTTATAAATACTTGAGACTTCCCTGACTATAAAAAACTCTGTAGACTGCAACCTGATGCCTTCAGCCCCATTGTCCAAGATCTGTTTCCATCCTTTTCCTACATTAGCTCATGGATTTTCTGCTTCCAAAGATTTGCGGCTACATTAACAAAGGCAAATCTCAGAGCACACTGACTACCAGTAAGTCTCTGGGGCTCCCTTGTCTGTTCTTATGGATAGGCAAGTAAGAGCTCAAAGATCCCAGCAGCCAGGCGCGGTGCCTCACCCCTGTAATCCCAGAACTTTGGGAGGCTGAGGTGGGCAGATCACCAGGTCATGAGATCAAGACTATTCTGGCAAACATGGTGAAACCCCGTCTCTACTACTAATATAAAAATCAGCTGGGCATGGTGGTGCGCACCTGTCGTCCCAGCTACTCGGGAGGCTGAGGCCAGGAGAATCTCTTGAACCCCGGAGATGGAGGTTGCGGTGAGCTGAAATCGCACCACTGTACTACAGCCTGGGCAACAGAACAAGAATCCATCTCAAAAAAAAAAAAAAAAAAAAGATCCCAGCTTCTTGAGGAGTCTTATACAGAGAGTAAATTATCTAGTACAGCAAAATCAGCCTCTTAGCTCTATTCCCAATCTTTTTCACTTCTTATAAAAATAATAACAAAATAAAAACAGGAATTAATTTCCTTCAACTCTTTAAGGTACGTACAAGAAATATTAGAACCTCCGAGGTGGAGTTGCTAAAGTTCTACACATCCTCCAAGAACTGCTTGTAGAGGGATGTTTTCTGTCTCTCTGTGGTTCTAACTATTTCATTATAGTAAGTTTCCTTCCATCTGCATTGATTCAGTGGGTAATAAGTGCATTCAAGAGAACTGCCTGGCATAGCTGCAAAGTAAAATAGAGCACATGACATAGCATCTTGCCAGGTCTAAAATTTGAGCAACTGTATGGGTATCAGGTACTTGCAGAAGAATAATTTCCATAAGCAGTTACACTGGGAATAACAATCCAGTAAAACATCATCCTTTCAGGATGAAAAAGGAGCCCCCAGGCCTAGAAGAGTAAACGGCAGGGCTGTAGAATGCCTCATTTCTGACTCCTGACACAATGCCGCAGCAGGCGCACATCCAAGAAATGCTCCATGAGCGGAGAAGGCAAGCAAGGAAGCTCCCTGAGGGCAGAAATGGTCTTTGGCACCACTGTATTTCCAGTACTCAATCCACAGCACATGTGCGCTGAATTAACACTCCTTCTACCCAATGCAATCAAAAGGATTAACAATGTATAAAACTAAAAATTTTCTTCTCATGTTTTCTTCCCCAATATACTCTTCAAACAATTCATGATTTGATTCACATGGACTTAGAATTTTAGTAATATTCCTCATCAAGCTATAGCCACAAAAGCTGAAGAGAACCAGCACTCCTGCCTCCAGCTCCGGCCTAAAGCTACTTGTCACAGCTGAGCCCCCTTTCAACATGAGAAATGACAAGGATCAGGTACATAAAATTTGAAACAGGATGGAAAATATTAGGAATATAAGATGCAGACAAAACAATCTGTCCTAACAAATGAATCCACTTTTCACTCCGTAACTATCATTTCTTTCAGTCCTAAACCCAGTTACTCTTTCTCTCCCCCAACCTCCACAAAAAGGATACGGCAAAAGAGTTCCACACTGAACGGACAGAATCACCCAAGAAGGCTGAAAAAGAAAAGATTCAATCAAAAAGTATTCTCAATGTACAAGTGGCATGTTATTATTGCACTAGTGTTGTTCTCAGAAATTAAAAGGCTCTGTTATAACATATTTTAAAACATCCAGATTACAAGTATGTATATTCAAACAGAAATATGATAGTCAAAGGTTAGTTACTAATGCCCAAGATGAAAAACCCAATCATAGAATAAAGTACTACCATATTTAAACAAATACATATAAACATTTAAATCTCAGGTTACACACTTATTACTGCTGACCCCATGACTAGAAGGACGAGGAACTGCCACCCATCCTGCCCCACCACCGCCTCCACCTCATCCAGAGCATAGACAGCCCCTCATCTGCTCCTTTTTTGAATCCCAAATTCAATCAAGCCCAAACTCATGAGGTTTTTGTTTGTTTTAGTGAAGTCAAATAGATACAATGTTTGTAATGCACAAAAATAATTTCTCACTGTCTGAGAATCTTTTCATAAACTCTAAAACTAAGATTAATTATAAAACAGATTAATTACTACCAAAAAAATCTTGTTTTTATGTTTAATTTTTATAATTACACAAATCATTATCCTGATAGCTCTACTTCACAAAATTACTGTCTAAAAATGTTGTAATGCCCCCATTACTACATTCTGGAAGGCAGCTTATTTCCAGAAACTTCAGCCAACTGAAATATACATATATACTCATTACCTACCCATCAATTCATTCATCAAATATTTATTGAGACTCTATTTTATGCAGAGATGGTGCAAGGCGCTGGGGATATAAAAATGAAAAAGAGAAAAGCAGTCTTTGCTCTCCTGCACCTCATTTTCCAAGCTAATGATCTTCAAGCTATTTTTGTTATGTACACCTTAAATAAATTTCAGACAATGAATTGCCCCCTTATCATTTTTTAGATGACATCTACAATTTTTAAGCATAACTTCAAATAAGCATATTTTCTATGAGAAGAGGAATATTCAACGATTTATGAAATAAAATAAAGACTGGCAGCTACACCTGGGATAATTATTTCATGGTGATTTGACATTTTACCAGAGGTTTTAACTAAGTTATTGGATTAGTTAACCGAAACCTGAAAGAAGGCACTTAATCCTCATCCAACATATCTTCACATTTTTTGATAGTCCTAGAAAAATTCCAGTTAAATTTTAAAAAATGGGCCAGCATCAGGAATCTGTATCAGCCTTGGCACTTCTCAATTCAGGACAGCTTCACTTGGGCCAAGCTTTCCTCTCAATAGTGACTCCCAGAAACCCCTCTCTGCTCATGCTCCCATGTTTGAGTGGTAAGGGAAGAGTCCCAAAAACCAGTCTTGCTAGTGGTCCTTTTATCTGGTGAATTTTCAGAGCCTGGGGCAATGCACTATAAGATTAGGATGGGTGAAGGTCTGATCATTCCTGTGTAAAGTGGGAAGGGGGCCGCTGTGACCACAGGTATGTTCTCAGGCAGCTTTAAGAAAGGCCAGTCTGGAAATGTATCCCATTACAACTATCCATCCACTCAGCATACATGCTGAAAATCTGCCCCCAGGGAGCTTGGGTAGGGTATCCCAGTTTAAAGACTGCTGGCTATCATAAAGTCACATCCAAGCAGAATAGAATCACTCTGAGGCCCTACTTTAGATAAGTTTAGATAAAGTAATGCAAAGATAGGAAGTAGGCCACAGTATAAAGCAGAAATGGATAATTATAAAAGCAAAGTAATAAAGAACTATTTATCCCAAAGGCAAAGAACAATATATAAAAATAAACCTGGCCAATCCCAGCACTTTGGGAGGCCAAGGAGGACGAATCGCTTGAGCTGAGAGGTTTGAGACCAGCCTGGCCAACATGGTGAAACCCCATCTTGGCCCACTAACAAATGCACAAGTTAGCTGGGCATGGGGGCACAGGCCTGTAGTCCCAGCTACTCAGGAGGCTGAGAGAGGAGAATCACTTGAACCCAGGAGGCAGAGGTTGCAGTGAGCCAAGAACGCACATTGCAGTTCAGCCTGGGAGATTATGACTCAAAAAAAATTACGTAAAATAAGCCCACTACAAGTCAGCAAAATTAACATTTCCAATGATGCCCAAAGGCTACTGAGAAAAATACCTCAATTAAAAAAAAATTTTTAAAGTTTTGGTGCCTAAAGAAGCAAGGCACCGAAGTTTTAAACATTTATAAAATTCAAATATGTAAATGATAGGTAAACTGTCACTGTGCATAAAAATGGCTTATTTTTAAAATGTATTGTCAAACTTAATATCAGGGTAAAGGCCAAGGGATATGCCTTAGGGAACCAGGTCTCAGCCTTCAGTCAGCTGAATTCAGA